TTTTAACATTTACGTCTTTTGCATTTGCTATATCCTAAATTTTTCATAATGTGAGATGTTTAACATGGGATTTTTTGTTTATGTTTTTGGTAGAAGACATAACTAAAAACATTGTGGACTGGAAGCCAAAAGTTGGATTAGAGTTTGATAATGTAGAACAAGCATGGAATTTTTGGACTAAATATGGTAGGAGGATCGGATTTGGAGTTAGAAAGCAGTATTTTAATAAGAGAAAGGAAGATGGTGCTATTACTTCTTGCAGATACGTTTGTTGTAAAGAAGGTCTTCGAAAAGGGAAGAAACAAGATTGTCAAGTTGCTAAACATAGAGCTGAGACAAGAACAGGTTGTTCTGCCAGAATTGCAGTATCTTTAGGGAAGAATGGGAAGTTTATAATTCATGAGTTTATAGAAGATCATAATCATCCCTTACAACTTGAGGAGACAACTCACATGCTTGCTTCTCATCGTAAGATAAGTGAAGTTCAAGCTTATGAGATTGAAATGGCTCAAGAATCTGGTTTGCAACAAAAATCCTCATTTCAACTCCAAAGCACACTTGCAGGCAATAGATGCAATATCGGATATACTCGGTTGGGTGCAAAGAATTACTTGAAGGAAAGAAGACAAAGAAGTATGGTTTATAGAGAAGTTGGTTGTGTGATGGAATATTTTCAGCAACAGTTGTTAGATTGTCCTTCATTTTTTCATGCATATCAGATGGATTGTGATGAACAAATTACAAATGTATTTTGGGCTGACGCGAAGATGATTTTAGATTATGCATATTTTGGTGATGTAGTTTCTTTGGACACTACATATTGCACTGATCGTGCAAATAGACCTCTTGCCTTGTTCACAGGTTTTAACCATTATAGAACCACCATCATTTATGGTGCAGCTTTGTTATATGATGAAACGGCTGATTCGTTTAAATGGTTGTTTGAAACATTTTTAGAAGCACATAATCACAAAAAACCTATAACGATGTTTACTGACCAAGATCAAGCCATGGCTAAGGCCCTTGTAAAGTCATGCCAGAGACACATCATTCTTTGTGCACATGGCATTTAATGCAAAATGGGATCAAACACCTTGGTAATTTGATGAAGGGTGGGAGTCATTTTTTAAGAGACTTCAAAAAATGCATGTATGACTTTGATACCTTCACTGACTTTGAGAAAGCTTGGACCAAGATTGTTCAAGAGTACAATGTCCATGACAACAATTGGATAAACTCACTTTATGCCATAAAAGAAAAATGGGCATCATGTTATATGAAAGAAGTTGTCACCCTAGGGATGCGGAGTACTCAACTCTCTGAAAGTTTAAATTCTGATTTCAAAGCTTCTATGAAACTTGGTGTTAGCATTAAACAATTCTTCCAAAGTTTTGAACGTATAGTTGAAGCGAAGCGTTACAATAAACTAATTTGTGAGTATGAGTCCCGACATAAGCTACCAATGTTGAGATATGAGATGTCTCCCATCTTGATACAAATGGGAAAAATTTACACTTATCCTATATTCACCCTTTTCCAACAAGAATTTACTTCATTCTTAGCATGTTGCATTTCAAAGAGGATTGAATCTCCTCCTATATTTGAATATGTCATCACTATAGTCAATCAAGAGAAATCATGCAGAGTATCATTTGATAATGTCTCAAAATCAATTTCTTGCACCTGTAAAAAATTTGAAACATTTGGTATGCTTTGTTCCCATGCATTGAAGGTATTTGAAGCAAATGATGTCAAGGCTATTCCTGAAAAATATATCCTTAAGAGATGGACAAAGGAAGGTCGTTCCGGCATTATAAATAATTTCATACGAAGAGAGATTGAGGGGGATCCAAAAGTTGCTACCACACAACGATACAAACAACTTGCTTCTAAAATGATTAGACTTGCATCAGAGGTATCTAGTTCAGAGGAATACTCGACATTAGTGGATGAATGATTAAATGTTGTGTGTCGTCAAATCTTACACCTTCGATTACAAACACAACATGTTAACAGTGACACTGACAATCATGCATCTAAGTCAATGATCAATGATGGTACAATCCCAAAAGGTTTCAAGCACCGACCAAGCTTAAAGAGGAATACATATAAACGATTCAAAAGTTGGGTTGAACTACAAGGAAAAAGGAAAAGAAATAGGATAACGAGAGGTCAATTACAAAACCAACATGGTAAGGTACATATATCAATCAATTTGCTAATGCATTACTTTCAATTTTGATTCCTTATTAACCATATGGTATTTATTTGATAAATATTTTAGGAATATCAACCCAGTCCTCCTTCTGAACCTTGTGATATACATTGTTCAGCACCTCCATCTTATCATCCTCCTCAAACTTTGAACAATCAATTCAATTTTCATTAAATTTCAAAATGAAAATTTAGTGCTTTAGTTCATCGTTGTATAATTTTGTTTGATGGATTTATGTTTTTTTTTTCAGGACCCTTTGGATGACACAACTTGTTCAATCCTTGATTAATAATTAAAAGTTGTTGTATCTTAATCATTTTATTTTCTTTTGCCAAAAACAATTATGTAAAGGACAAATGTATTTTGTTTTCAGAAATAGTATATCCATGTCTGTCAATTTAAGCTGCTGTTTTTCAATTTTCCTGCATCTTCGCTTAAGCCCCCCAATAATCGGTTAAGCCCACAAATTTCGCTTAAGCTACATAGTGCTCGCTTAAACTGGTATTGGTTCGCTTAAGCTAATATGTTATAGCTTAAGCCAGTTTATCAATCCAAAAGAGCATTCTCTCTGCATTCTTTTTATGCAATTTTCGCTTAAGCTAAAGCATATCTGCTTAAGCTATTGGTTTCTCCGCTTAAGCCAAGCCATGAAGGCTTAAGCGAATGTGTAATCCTGGGAGGTGTGCTCTCTGTTTTTTTAGGCTTAAGCCATTAAGGTTTCGCTTAAGCCCATCATATACGCGCTTAAGCCTTATAAATATGCGCTTAAGCCCACAACTCATCAGCTTAAGCTAAATCAAGCACGCTTAAGCCATTTTGTAATCTCTCTCTGTTATTTTTCGCTTAAGCGAGTATATTTTAGCTCAAGCGCATCACCCATTCGCTTTAGTTTAATGTGTCGCTCCATGCTTGTGGTATTGGCTTAAGCCTTCGTTCGCTTAAGCCGTGTCAAAATGGTTTAAGCGAATGAAGAACTGCACGTGCAGTTCCCGCGTCAACTGCACTGGATCCGTATCCCTTTTAAATAGCCTTCCACATCCACTATATATTGTGCCTGTTGGAAAGGCACAACAGGCTCCATACTAACACATGTTGGATTTCTATGTTATAGTACCTTTTGCAATTTAGTTACTGTACCATTTACTTGTATTGATAATATATTTTAGAACTTCACTATTTTGGTAAATATTTTTTCTTTTTTTGCCAACTTTAATTGAAAAGCTGTTATTCGTTTTAGATTATTTTTTTTAGAATTATTCGAACTATTGATTTATTATCAAAATAATGGTTAAGAATAATCTATATCCTTACAACAAGGGAATGCTAAATAGATAGAGCTAGTAAAATAGGCTTACTTAGTGAGCTAATTTGATAACGCTCAAGGGGGAAAAAAGGTGAAAGTTTGAATAAATTTGATTTTCTTTTTTTAGTTTGACTTATTTAGATATAATCTTAGGCAGGCTCGAGGTGGGCTAGCTCCATGTCACTTGCAGCTCACATTACTTTTTCCGTAAGTGAATATGCTTTCTTACCTAACATTTATTTTAAATTAAAATTATCATTTATAAAATTATAATTACTAATTTATTTTATTTTAAAATTTATTAACATAATTAATATTCAATTCTAAATTATGATAATAAAAATGCCGACGACGAGAGTGAGATCGTTGAAATTGAATATACAAAGCTTTTTCAAAAATATTTAAACAATAGAAAGATTAGTTAGAATATTTATTTTAAATATTTGGGACTAATTATATTGTTTATTTTAATTTTTTTGAATAATTTCATTTTTATTTTTTGTTTAAAATTTGTTGGATAGAAATTCAATGTTTTATATTTAATATGCTCAAAAATATAATTCATGCAATTTTTTATTTAATAATGTTTATATAAACTAAACCATTCTCATAAGCCCGTTAACTACGAAGGGTCAATCTTGAAATATTACTTTAAAAATTAAAATTATTTTAAATTTTTTAACCACAACCTACATTAATTCGTTACTTGATGCAGATGGAACCGAGAAGCCTCAATTGAAGGCTAAAAAAATGGAATCAGAAACTTACTGATGTGACTTTTTTGTGTACCAAATGAAAATTCCATAAAATTACAGAGGCACCAACAGTATGAACATCTGTGAAGAAAGGCACTTGGCTTGAAAAATTAAGCATTCAAGTTGTAATAATTTTTTGTTTTATTATTATTCTTACCTTTTAAATTATATCTCACGATTTACAGGAGGGAGAGTGATGGACTGTTCTTACAGACTGAGCCATCAAAACTTGAAGTGAGAATTTGCATTTATGACCAGAATGAGGGATGCCCATGGACCAGAATGGGGAATGGTAGGGACGATAATGGAAATAGGAAATATGTTTTCAAACAATATACTCTAATATGTTTCCCCAACTCTTTTCATGGATTCGTACGAAGGGGCAAAAACCTCTTATCAAGGACCTAACCTGGGACATTAGGTTGACCAAAAAAAGGACATAAGAGATACAACTTAGACTTATTGTCGTTTTTTAACGTTGATTCACTGTCAATTAAAAAAAACTATATTATAGTTATAATTATAATATCATTTATTTAAAATTATTTAAAAGCTATTAGAAATATTTACAAAATTAATTATCATGATAATATAAGACGCTTTCCTTAATGATAGTGTAATCTTTACCAATGCTTGAAGTTAGCTTAGCTTTAAATCAACGAATGATAATTTTTCAAGCTTGTTAAGACCAGTCATTAATAAACTTAAACAAGGACACTCACCCCACACCTCTCAAATAAAACACACACAAAATGGGCACAGAAGTGTCCAGCTATCCACAAACATTATGCTACCAATGTTGGTGTAGCAGCAATTATAACATGCCATAGGAAACACCATTAACAACCATAATCCGGAAACAACTTTGTAGTATAGTTTTACACAAATTCAACATAGTAGTTCATGTAACTCATCATCATAGTTAATTTCTTTCTAAGCCACTTAAAACCATTATTGCTAGATTGAATAGGCAGGGTAGTAGTATTAGTATTTCAGTGGCTCACTAGGAATCTTTTCACATTTTAGCCAGGGGGCCAGTTCATCTGTCGTCCCCCAATGACATGCACATGAATGTGGTAAACTGATTGGCCTGCCAAAAACATCTCAGCTCAATAATAAATAAAAAATATAGATCAAACAATCACAAGAACCTATAAATTAAAAATATATAATTGACCAAAGTTCCTTCCTGTTATGGAGAAAAACACTTACACCCATTTGGCCCATCATTAATTACAATCCTGAAGCCATCATCAAGACCTTCTTGTTTTGCAATCAGCTTAGCAGTGTATAGAAGGCGGCCAAGAATCTCGCAGTGCCTCTCCTCAGCCTGGAAACAATACCATAAAACAGATCATTATCATAAAAGCATAAACATAACCCTGACAAAATGTAGAACAATTCTAGGTGCTAACTCAAGGTGTTGAAAGGATTTGCATTCGGTTTGATTTTCCAATTAGGAAGAAAAGAGTTGCTTAAGAATAATTGACTAGTGAGTCAATGACTGCCATCACCAGATATATGCATTTGCAGTTTCTTTTCCTTTTGCACTTTTCCAGAGCAAGTTAATTGATCCGGCTATGGGCATAGCAATGCAAAGAGATGCCACGCAGGAGAAATAAATTAAGATAGTTTTTGGCACAAGGACAGAGTAGAATAGAATGAAATGGAGCAGTTTTGTCATGTTCTCCACTTCTCCTCAATTGTACCACTTGTAGTAGAACCAAAATATACCACTTTTTAAGTTTCAACCATTATATTCTGTTATATTTCTAAAATGTGTCAAAAATAGAAGGGAACCCATATGTTATATTATGTCCCATTATAACAAATCTACCAAACGCTACCTTAAAATGTCTCTTAACCCATCAATAATCAAACTAACACTTCAACTGGATAGAAAATAGTAACACTGCAGAAATTATGAAAATATTTGAAAAGATATAGGAAGAAATGATGAAATTTTAGTGACACTAACCAACAAGATCTGTTTCAGTGATTGATTGTGAAGGAGCAATTCTCAAACTTGACTACTAGATCATAGATTCATAGGGAGACTGACTTGGCTCAATTTGTTAGCAAGACTAATACTAGCTTACATTGATAATCATCAAATAACAGTTGATTTCCCAGAACGGATCAGGCAATACAGTTAATAGGTTCTTGCACCACTGCTTAGAAAAATAATGATGATAGTATGATTGAAATATGGAACAGGTAATATAACCTGATACAAGAAAAGCATTTGACATCAATACCTACCACAAACAAGAAATAGTATTCTGATTAGTTTTCAGGATGATGTACATCTTGCTAACAGTATGTCAGGATAGCAATGAGAAGAAGCAACTACAGTCTACAAGCAAATAAGAGAGACAGAGATGCTCAAGGAAGTTTGGAGGGAACAACAAAGTAGATGGTGGTAACTAACCAAAAAAACATGATTTCAGAGGTATAGCCTGCTTACAGCTTGGTTTCAGAAAGTTGCTTTCAGTTTTCACTGTTTCTGGTATAAATCTTTATAATAAGGAAACATAATGAAAACAAGGTGACATATTTATAATTCCAAGTGAAATAGAAAATGTTTTCTATGAAATCAAACAGCTCCCAAGTTGCACATCTTGTTCACAAGAAAAAATTAAACCTTTCTGCTATCAGTATGCTGATGCTGAAAGAAATTTATCACTACTATGAATTTTCCTAAATAATATGTTCCTTCTAAATGAATTTAAAAATATTATTTTATTCTATATAATAAATAATGTATTTCAAATGAACATCTGACACAACATAATATGCCTACTGATGCAGAAAAGGCCATTGACAAATACCTTGGATAGACCAGTTAACCCATCCCTAACTTTAGGAATGACTAGAATATGGACAGGAGCTTGTGGAGCTATGTCCCTAAAGGCAAGAACCTGCCAAACAGAAAATAAAAGATGAAAGGATTATAAACTGCTACAATACACCTTCAAATAGAATCAAATAACTTAACCAGAATAAGAGATGATGAAACAGTGCTAGCCAGGACTTGTTGAGTTGCTTCTAAGAAATTTATTAACATTTAACAGAAGGTGCAATTAGAAGAATTTTCTCAAGTTCTTTTTTTTTTCCTAGTTATTGATACTATTTTTTACTTAAACCAACTGTCAGACTATATCATAATACTTGGAGGTTCGAGCAAAATGCAGTCACATTTCCTTTAGAACAAGGTAAGACCATAAGAAAATACATTTTTAATCCTAAAAACAAGACAAAATAAAATGTACATTGATGTCTGCAATCAGGCAAATAATGAAATTAGAAACAATATTCTGATCATGTAAGTAAATCTCTTCAAGGGAGAAGGAAATTTAAAGACAGGGCCAGAATTATTAATAAAAGATGAACCCACGGCTAACAAAAAGAAGTACCTCTCTCAAGAAAGCAACTACAAAACATTAAATTTCAAACATTTAGCTATATATAAGTTTTGGTTGAAAGTAGTGAAGGCAGGAAACAAGACAAGAATACATGAGCAGTAGAAAACTAATGGAGAGAGATTAATAAGAGAGTTTGGAGTATCCCCATAGATACATTAATTAGCAGAAAATCAAGTACACATGTAAATTGATTGGAAACCTTCTTCAACTCTGAACTTGAGCCATGTCTAAATGTGTAATCCAGCAAGAAAATCAAAATTAGCTTTTTTTTCTTAGGTGGCCAATTGGAAGAGCACATCACAATGCTTGGTTTCTTTAACATGGACCACCCATTGAAACATTATACACTTTCACATGATCAACAAGTATAGACTTTAGAGTGCAATAAAATGTTAAGAAGACTTCATTAACAATATAGATGAACCAGGACTTTCATTGAAACTGGAAAAACAAAAGAGAACAACACTTCATAAGGCAACAAATGAATTTCAACACGTGGAGATCTTTACAGAACTGCTTTAGTTTTCGATAACAAACGTCTGTTTGTCACCATCTCTTGCAGGTTGTGTGGAATTTGAAGCAATATATATATATATATATATATATACACACCCTCTATCTGTAATTACAGTCACATCCTCAAACATGTAAAAAGAAAAAGAAAGCAAAGAACTTAATAAAGGTAAGTTGAGGATCCATCAAGCATCAGAATCAGACAGCACCTTATCATCCTCGTAAACCACAGTAGAAGGAATTTCCTTATTGATGATCTTGTCAAATCTGGTCATCATAGAACACAAGAGAAAGGAGATGAATACCAGGAACTAAAAATAAATAAAAATCATATTAAAATTTAGTGTCACATCCTACTCCTGCCTCAAGCAATAAGAAGGAAAAACCTTTTGTCAAACAAAAAATGAGGGAACCTAGACGAAAGAAAGCTACCATATCCGCATAAAATACACTAAACACCAGCATATGCACACGCACATACACCCAATTAAAAACAAGTAATTAAGCATTATAGAAATAGAGAAGTTTCAAACTAAAACGAATTGCACCGAGCATATATGTATACAGAATCAACAGCAAATGATACCCATAACAATATTTTGGGACCAAATGGTATCACATTTCCATTATGTTGAAAGCAAGCTTCAATTTTTGGTTACCCATTTAGCCTAACCACATAAAAGTATAAGCTTTTCAGGATTTTCGCACGTTGACCGAGGAAATCAGAACTTATATACAACAGATTAACAACAAAGAATCTTTGCAAGATAGGCAGATACTAAGCAAAGAAAGAGAGCAATGCATGATGAACATGTGCAGTGGATAGAGAAGAATGAGAAGCTCACACGGTGGGAGCATCAGAGGGAGTGGCTGCAAGAGCAGCTTCTTTCTCGGAAGCCATGGAATGGAACAAATGATGATACCAAAAACACTACAAGAACGCTTGCTGACTCACTTTGTGTTTTATTGCTGCTAAGTATGGCCCCTTCATAACCAAATTGGGTCCTACGTTCCCATTTCATTTCATCCTGTTATTTTCTCTTGTGCCAAATTTGTTGGTCAAACAATAATTTTTAAGAATTAAAATACACCAAATTGGGTTAGATTTTGTATAACTCGAAGTGATCTAACTCATGAAGTAATGAAGTTTATTTATTTGATATAAGTCATTTTTATGATTTGTGGTCTAGTTTAACTTTTCAATACGTTTTGATTTTAAATCAAAAGTGAAATAAATTAATTTTTTATAAATTAAAATTAATTTATGCATTTTTATTTTTTTTAAGTTTTAAATTATTTTTAAAAAAATTTATATATATATTAGATTATTTTAATTTATAAGAAGAAATTTAATTGTTTTACTCCTTTTTTCTATAAATTTTTCTAAATAAACTTACTCAAATTCAGTCTTAAAAACCTCCTTTATAACAAGGTGTTTTAAATAGGTAAAAAAAATTCAATTAATGAGTCAAATTTATATATAAATTAATAGATTTAAATTTTTAAATAAATAAATATATAATCCTATATTATTATTATTATTAGTATTATTATATTTTTTAAATAGGCTGACATGTTAAGCCTAAAAAGGTTTTTGTCCTACCCTTTTAGGTTGAATAACCATTTAAGAACTTTTTTTACTTTACTTATTTAATAAATAAGTTCTTCTTAAATTAGGTCAAATATAAACTAGATCATGGACTCGACAAGCTATCACAAGGTTGTATTATAATTTTATCGATCAAAATAATTATCTAATAAATTTGTTTTTGAAATAAAAATGTGAAATTATATTTTATCGTTTATTTGATTATATATATATACTAAATTTAATAGTAACAGAAGTTTGCATTGCCAAAATTCTATAATCATTTCCTTCAATTATAATATTTATTTTAATGAAATATATCAAATTTAATTTAATTTGAACATGTGTCTCGATTATGTTTAATAATTTAAATCAATTTTACTAAATTCTAACTTTTTTTCTTGCTTTGGGGGAGGGAGGGGGAGATTAACGTGTGCTTTTGGTGATAACAATGGATGAGTAATAATTTTTATTATTACAAGGAACTAAAGTTGTGCTTGATTAATTGCATGCACTATAAGTTGAAAAAACGAAAAAACTTTATTAAAAAAAATCTACAAGCAAATAGGGCTCTGTTTTTTTTTTGAAATATAAAAACAAAAAAAATATGATAAGAGAGATTTTAAAAATCTTTAAAAAAAAAACATTTTTTCTGTTTTTAAATTAAAAATTCAAAGAATTTGCCGAATATTTTGATTTTCTAGTTTCCAATTTGTACTTTTTCTTTTGTTGCTTCATATTTTTTTTCTCTCACTTACTCTTTTACTCTTTTCTAAAAATTAGTTTTTGAAAATTATTTTATAAAATAATTTTAAAACAAAAATAGAAAATAATCAAACGCACACATAATTTTTTATTATTATTTTTAAGCAATATTAGTGTTTTTGTCATCTAATTTTAAAGTAATTTTCAATTTTGTCTTTTAACTTTATTTTTTTTTTATCAATTTTATCCATCTAACTTATAAACATATTTTAAATAAGTCATTTTCCATTAAAAATGCTAACTCTATTAAAAAATTTGTTATTTTTAACATGTAATGTGTGGATATTGTTTATCTTCTTCCTTATATTTCTAATTTTGTTTCTTCCACCTCTTCTTCTTTATTCTCCATTTCATCTTCATCTTTTTATCTCTTTTCTTCTTCCCTTTTTGGTCAATTTCCTCATTCATGAGTTATTTGTACAACAATTTAAGTACCATAATTGAGAATGCCTTTAAAGAATAAAGCAGAAGACTATCTTTCTAGAAGTGCTTGAAAATCATTTGTTACTTCTTCAAGCTTTTTAAACTAAAATTTGATTGAAATACTAACAATTTTGTTATAAAAAAATTACACTTTGTTTGAAACTTTTTTTCTTTTAATCTCAACTGTGACGTTACAATTTTGAATCTTTTGTCCTAAGACGAAAAAGTATGTTAAATGCTAAAAAGTCTTTTATGGTTTCAAAGGGAGTTAGGTTAAGTGACCATTTTTTTGTTTACCAATTTTTATGGAGACTTAGATAAGGAAAGAATTGTTGTAGAATAAGAGAAAAAGTAAGTTTAGATGTTGTTGCAAGGAAAACCTCAAGCAACTACAAAATCTGCCATTATAGCAATTTTTCACTAAACATTACATAATAGATTTGAAAACAAAGAAGAATGAAGGAAAAATAAGAAGAAAAAAATAAAAAAATAAAAAAAAAGGAAAGAGAAAGAGAATGAGATGGAAGAGACATAAATAAAGATTTGAGAAAAGATAATTAGCAGTATCTACCCAATACATAAAATAACAATTTTTTAACATAATTAACATTTTTAATAGAAAATAACTTATTTAAAATATCTTTTTAAGTTAGAAGACTAAAATGAATAAAAAAAACTTACCTTAAAATTAAACAATTAAAACACTAATTTTACTTTAATTTTACTATCAAAGCAATAAAGAAAAAATAAAATTAATGAAATTCATCAATGATTCCTTTATAAATAGCAAAACTAAATGAAGTAAAAATACCTTACTAATTATTAATAATATAGTAAAAATAGAAAAACTAATTCAATAATTGATACATTATCTAAAAAATATTATTTTATGACTTTCCATATTGTTTTAGGTGTAGAAGTCACATAGTAAAAATATTGATAATTTATTTTAGATTATTAAAGTTTTATTTTTTACCAACGATATTTTTACAATCTTGAGAATTAGAGAAAATTAAAAAGACTTAGAGCATGCTTGATTTATTTTTAAAAAATACTTTTCTATTTTTAAAAATAAAATATTGTTTTTAAAAAGAAAATTAAATATGCTCATATACTTATTTTTTTATTTCTTATTGAACTTTAAAGTGGTCCTTACTACAACATATAGAATGGATGCATAGGTATTATTGGCTATCATGAATCATTCTCATTATAAGAAAATTCTTAATCATGATTATTAATAATAAATTATTGATTACATACTAGGAAATGAACTAACCCTTTCAACCAATAAGATTATAAGAGTATCCAAAAAGTGTTGAGGATAATTAGCAGTAATAATAGTCATGCTAGTAGAAAGAAAAACAACTTGCTACTAATATCAAATATAAGAACAAAATAGATATTAGCTTTCTTTTTATGTATGTTACTATACTAAGTCATTTTTGCATACTAGCGTTTGACTAACATATGTAAAGAATCCAGTATAAACTGAAACAAATCTATTGACTAGTTAAATTTGTCAAATATAGTTATAGATGGAAAAATTTGTCTATAAGTTAAAAATTGGAGGAAAATTTGGAGTAGGAGTTACAGACAGAAAAATCTATCTGTAAATATTATTGTTTTTGACTAACTTTTTATCTGACAATTTACAGACGATTTTTTTATATGTAACTGTATTTGACAAATTTATAGACGGATAAATCCGTCTATAATTAAACCTTTAAAACGTACCGTTTCATTAAACTATTTACAAATAAATTTTTCTGTCTGTAATATGCGAAACACATAAATCCATGTCTCCTCCTTCTTCTTCCTCATTTTGCATAATTTCCTTTCTCTCTCACCTCTCTCTCTCTAGGAGCTTCAATTTTTTGGCCTTTGTGAGTGATTGAAGCATCCATTTGAAAGATAATTTGCACCATTGTGTTCTTGGTATGAAACTGTAACTTTTAGTCAATTTAGTTTTTTTATTTTTTGATGTATTTTAGAGACTTAAAATTTCTAAGATAGAGTTGTAGGATTGGATATTGTATGACCAGGGGGAAAGGTGTAGAGGTCCTTCTCTGAACCTGATTACTGTGTACTGTGACATTGTTTGTGTTTGTGAAGTTTGTAGAATATGCATGTTGTGGAGTTATAAGGGGATGTGCTCTAGAACGATTTATGATTGTAATGTGTATGTTTTTAATGCATTGATTAATAGATTATTACATATTATACAAATAATGTGTAAAGGAAATTTAGATTTTTGTATTAAGTACGTGTAAACATATATAAGAAAATATTCATATATTAAAAGAGATTCTACCAAAATTTACATTAAAAATTTGTTTGATTAAGTGTAAACAAATATAAGAAAATATTCATATATTAGGAGAGATTCTGCAAAAATTTACATTAGAAATTTGTTGTATCAAGTGTAAACAAATATAAGGAAATATTCATATATTAGAAAAAATTCTGCCAAAATTTACATTAAAAATTTGTTATATCAGGTGTAAATAAATATAAGGAAATATTTATATATTAGGGGAGATTCTGCCAAAATTTACATTAGAAATTTGTTGTATTAAGTGTAAACAAATATAAGGAAATATTCATATATTAGGGGAGATTCTGCCAAAATTTACATTAGAAATTTATGTAATATAAAATAAAAGGTTAATACAATATTATGTATTTGTGTATTTGATCTCTAAACATGTATTATATTTGATTTAATTCTTGAGGAAATATCTTCTCAGGATTCAAAGTCAATTGATAAGGATACTATATGGTCAGAGACGGTGAGTGACCTTTATAAAGGCCGCATTTACGGCATGGGGAGCCGCTTTGCAGACTCCAATGTCCCCTGCATCTGTCACCGGAGATGCCCTTTCTCTTGTGCCTGAGGAAGTGAAGGACATGGTCCGCACTTAGGTCCATGCTCAAGGAAAGTCTATAGAGTAAGAAGTGAAAGAAAAAAATGGAGAAGAAGGTAGCATCGAGGATGCAGAGGAAGGTGCAACAACAAATGTAGCAGCAGCATATGCAGATGTATGCATACTTTGAGCTCATGAGAGCAAACACTTCTACACCTCTTTCTCCTCCTCCACCAGCTCTAACATCATAAATCTTCAGCTCTGTGCGTCATTCTTCCTCTATTGATGGAGATAATTTTTTGGAAGATGATCACACCGATTCTTAGTGATATACAGTGTTATTTTATTTTTGATATTAGCTTTTTAGATGTTTTCTTCTTCATTTGTAATGACATTTTAATTTTACATTTTATAAATAATTTATGATTTAAATATATAATTTTGTAGTTTTTATTATGTTTATAAATTGTGATAATTAGAAACAGTGAAGAATAATTATGTTTATAAAAAAAATAAAATAATGTTTTTAAAATTTCATAAATAAATTACAGACGAATTTTTCTGTTTATAATTTACAGATAGATTTTTTCATCTGTAATTACAGACAAATTTTTTTGTCTGTAAATTATAGACAAATTTTTTTTGTCTATAATTTACGGACAAATTTAAAAATTCATATATAATTATTTATCGACGTGCATATTACAAATAGACTGGAATCGTCTATAAATCTATCTGTAATGTTAAAATTCATCTATAATAATAAAAAAATTCATCTATAAATCTATTTATATTTGCAGGTTTTCTAGTAATGAAAGCAAGACACCATTCTATGTATAAGGTTAAATATGTTTGCACTTGTTCTTTTATTTTTGGAAATTAACTAAATATATTTTTCTATTTGATATCTATAAAATATTTATTATTCTTCTCCATAGGATTATGTGTTTTGATATGTTATCAATCAAATTTTTAAATAATTTTAGGCTGAATTAACTTTTTTCCCTCCCACCATCCTATTTAAGGAGGATATTGCATCATCCAATCATCCTATGTTGCCAAGTTAATTAGCCTAAGCTTCCATCCTACAAATCCTAAAGTTCTTAAATCAACTCAGTAAATATAAGGCTAAAACTTATTTAATGATTTACCATAAATTGTGGGACCCATAAAATATACTTTTGTCAACCATGCTAATAATTACTTTTGGACCATGTTGATAATTCATTTTTCAATAAGTGTAAAATAACATAAAAATATTACTCCAACGGTCATCGAACTCATGTATGTATAAACTTTTATAATCATGTACTATTATCCTTAGTGTGTATGATATTATAATTTTTTATTATGTAAAATATATTGTGATTTTTGTTTGGATATTTTATTTAACTTCATTTTATATTTAATAAATAAATTTTTAATATAAAACTATCATACATATATATTTTTTTATCTTTTTAAATATTTGTAACATAAAAGAATATTTATTTTAACATAACTTTTTATTTAGTATATCTAAATACATAATATATTTATATAATTAATTGTATATATAATATCTTAAAGTGTGTTCCATTCCAGAAGATAGTCAAATTAATTCAGTATCTCACTTAAATCACTTTATTTGTTCTTTTAAGGAGAAATTTAATTTCAAAATTCAATTTAAATAAAAGAAGTATGCCATGTTAAAAAAGCATATTAAACAATCAATGTCATACAATTTATTTTTTTCTTGTCCTCTTTAAAAAGAAACTAACATATGTAAATCTTTTAAAGTAATCCAAATTCCCGTTAGATCTTCGGCCATGAATTGAAATTCAAACAGCGCTTCGGATGTTTTTAACTTAATTCTAAGAAAGAGAAGGAAAAAAAGTAGTGGCGGCTGAGAATCACATCATATATCATAGATAAAAGATAAAAAAATATCTGGAGTGAGACAAAGGGTGAATGTGATTAATATTATTGATTGAAAAAATCAGAAACCCTAGTAGTGTGGCTGAACCTGCACTTCACTCAACAAACAAAACAATGGGAAGGAAGAGAAAGGTGGCACCCAAATCTTCTCAATCCGCTGAACCCCCTCTCAAACACCACCAACCCCAACCCTTACCAGACAATGCACCTCCCGAATACGAAGAAGTTGAAGAAGAAGTTGAGGAAGAAGAAGAAGAAGTTGAAGAAATAGAAGAGGAAGAAGAGGAGGAAGAGGAAGAGGAAGAGGAAGAAGAAGAAGGAGACCAACAACAACAAGAAGAAGATGACGACGACGACGACGACCCTATCCAGAAGCTTCTAGAACCCTTAAGCAAGGACCAGATCCTCAACCTTCTCTGCGAAGCTGCCACCAAACACCGTGACGTGGCGGATCGGATCCGTAAGGCTGCCGACGAGGATCCTGTTCACCGGAAGATCTTCGTGCACGGCCTTGGATGGGACACCACCGCCGGAACCCTAATAGGTGCGTTCCGGCAGTACGGCGAGATCGAGGATTGCAAGGCGGTTACCGATAAGGTCTCCGGGAAGTCGAAGGGATACGGATTCATTCTCTTCAAGACGCGCCGGGGTGCCCGCAACGCGTTGAAGCAGCCGCAGAAGAAGATCGGGAATCGCATGACGGCGTGCCAGCTGGCGTCGATTGGTCCCGTCAGCCAGAGCCAGCAGCAGCAGCAGCAGCAGCAACAACAACCAGCTGCGGTGACGACTTCTTCGGCGCCGGTTTCGGAGTACACGCAGAGGAAGATCTATGTGAGTAACGTTGGAGCTGAATTGGATCCGCAAAAGCTTCTGGCGTTCTTTTCGCGGTTTGGCGAGATTGAGGAAGGGCCTTTGGGGCTTGATAAGGTCACGGGGAAGCCGAAAGGGTTCTGTTTGTTTGTTTACAAGAGTGCTGAGAGTGCGAGGAGGGCCTTGGAGGAGCCTCATAAGGAATTTGAGGGGCATATTTTGCATTGCCAGAAGGCAATTGATGGTCCTAAGCCTGGGAAGTTGCAGCAGCATGGGAATCCTCAGGGTCAGAGGAACCAGTTTCAGAGGAATGACAGTGCTGGTTATGTCGGTGGTGGTAGTGGTGCTGCTGCTGCTGCGCAGCCGGGGCACCTAATGGCACCGGCTGGACCCGGAATTGGTTTTAATCAGGCTGCTGCTGCGCAGGCATTGAATCCGACTCTGGGGCAGGCGCTGACGGCGCTGCTTGCGTCTCAAGGAACATTGGGGCTGAGTAATTTGTTGGGGAGTATTGGAACGAGTGCTGCGGTTAACCCTGGTGTTCCTGCTGCCGGGGCTGGAGTGCAGGGTGGTTATAGTGCCCAGCCAAATATAAGCCCAGGTGTTATTGGAGCATATGGGAATCAGGTTGGATTGCAGACGGCATACCCAAACCAACAGATAGGACAGGGTGGCTCTGGAAGAGGGCAATATGGTGGTGCTGCACCTTACATGGGGCACTAGGTTTGTGGCAGGTATGGTGTATGTACTTATGATGTTTCTTTGAAGATTGGTATGCTTTCCTATTTAGCTTGCTTTTTGATCTGTTGGGTATTGCAATTCTGACTTATATCGAACAATAGGGTAAATTTTGGGGCAAGTGAAAGCAAGCTAGTTTGTTTGGTATTGACTTAGTTTTAAGCTGCATTTTCAAGGCTGTCAAATAGGATATATTGATTGCTTAACTTGAGCTCAAATTATTCATTCTTTTTGGCTTCTGCTCTTCTGACTAACACTTTTGTGGTCTCTTATTCTTGTGCTCTAGAATTTATATTTTTCTTTCAGAAACATAATCTTCATATTTGTTGATAGATTGGAAGTGTAGTTGTTTTCATCAGAGTCAATGGATATAGAGAATGAAACTATTATGTTAGACAATGAAGATGGAGACCTTATTAGTGTGGATGATGAGTATGGAATGACCTGGTAAAATAATGGTCTGTAATTATGCAAACATTTTTTAAAGCAAAATAGATAAATGAGGTGCACAAGGAGTTGGAAGTAAGTGAGATGATGGTGGACTGACAAGATGCTAGATGTTCGCGGTTGGACAGAGATATGTAGTTTTTCATTCATAAGAATTTTTGTCTGTTCCTTGCTTTTTGAATTTCATTGTTTGAATAGAAAAAGTTGTAGTTCCTTGATTTCTCCTTTTCATGTTAATAGTTCCTTTGTATTTGCTGTTTCCCATCTTTTCTCTATTCCTTTGTGGAGCTGTAATGGACTTGTTAATGTTTTGTATGTTCACGAGTTGTAGCACCTATATCCTATTTGGAACATTCATGCCTACACTTTCACCTCAAGCTCTGCATTCAAACTCAAACGTAGCAAAGGTGTAATTGGTTATGCGTTTGGTATTCTCTGTTATTCGTGTGGGATTAAGAATGTACCACTTCGTGGTTGGATGGGGCAACTGTTATTGGTTGGTAGTTGGTAGATCTTTTGATTAGTGTGTAAGACATGTTGTATTCCCCAACACCTTGCATAATAATGTAAAGTCATGGAATTTGCAGGAATTTTTTTTTTCCCTAAAAGAATGGCTATAGCTTTTGTGAGTTTAGTAATATAGTTTTTTGCTCAGTGTTTTCTTTAAAGTATGCAACTTTATTACATTAGATCAAATATCAAAGGGACAATGAATAAATTTGATTTAATTACAAATTTGATTAAGAATTTTAATTTTTATCATTGCAACAAAATGCAGCAGGTAAATATTTTAAGCTATGCTTTGGATATTTGCAATTAGGGCCAATGACAGTGTTAATTTCAGAGACAGAGACAAAAAAGTGATTCATGTTGTCCCCTGTATATGAAACAGTTGGGCCCTTGATAAGAGGCTTGTGTCTAACCCTCTCTGAACCTCTGTTTGTTAGTTTCATGAAAATAGAGGGGGTTTGGGTTATTTATGACCTGCAGTTCTTGGTGGAAGTGAAACAATAGATTTTTTTCAAGGTTATTTCATATACCTTTTTGTGATACATCTTGTTTTATGGCTTTCCCCAGAAGTTGCTACATTTAGCTTCTGAAAAAGCACTAAAACGACTTTTTTGTTATGTTTTCTTTTTTCTTTTTGAAAAATTTACATAATTATTATCAATTTTGTAAAACATATCTTTTAATTAGAACAGCATTGTTTCTTGGATAAAATCTCAAACAAATGTGCCCTTAATGGTGTGCTTTGATGTTCAGCTATGAAGCCCATATACTTCAAAACAGCCAAAGTATGTGTCAGACACATATCCATTACCAATACGTGTCTGATACGTATCTCAAAAGCATCTATAATTTAATTTATTTTTAAAAATTAATTTCCAACCTGACACTGCTTAGATACGGTTGGGATACAGCTCCTAATCATCCGATACGACTTAGATAGATATAAATAGTACAAAGGCATGACTTTCTTTTTGTGATAGTTCTATATTTCTTTTGGATAAAACTACCAATTCTTTCGTGGAATTCTAACTTGAACAGGGAGTAAAGTATGTAATTTTTTTATGTGATCATAGTAGAAGAAATATTTTGACTTAGTTACTTAGACAAAGGAAAGATATGATCGCATGTATTTTTTTTGTAAAATGTGATCATTAATATCCAAATATAACACATTAATATAAATGAATTATCAATATCTCTTTATAAATATTTTGTGTATGTATAAAATATGTTATTTCTTTAAATTTATGTTAACTTATTAAGCTGTATCGTATCTTGAATTTCAAATTTTTTCCGTATTCCTGAATCTGTGTCATACTAAGTGTCCAGGCTTCATAGATGTTCAAACATATTTATTTCTGCACATATCTCTCCTGTTTGCAAATTATAGTTAAGTTTATACTATCTGCATATATAATATCTTAGATATGAAAAATACCTCTAAATTTGATTGAATCCCATTAGTTAGTTAGTTTAGTTAGTTACAATCTGTAGATAGTCAATTTGTTACAGTTAGTAAAAGGTATTTACATGTGTTTAAGAGAGGAAAGGAAGGAGATTATCTTATTAGTTAGAAAGGATTAGACTCAGAGAGAGGTGGCAGAGAATAGGTCCTCTCAAATACCCTAAATATTCAATACAATTTGATTCTATTTCTATCAATTGGTATTAAAACATCGATCTTGGAGTTGTGAGTACTTAGTTCTTGAAGATGATTCTAGAATTTGAAGGGAAAGAAATTTATTGGTAGAGCTGTCAATTCAGGCTATTTGGTCTGGCCTGTATAGTGTAGAGGGCTAATGTGGGCCAAGCTAAAGAAGATTGAAGCAATTTGAGCTTTTGAAATGGTAGTCCAAGCTTGACTCATTGTGGGTAGCAAACTTTTTTTTTTCTTTTCAAAAAGGCCTGTTTTATATCTATCAAAGATTAAGATTGCATTAACAAAAGTTTTTTTAAGCACATTAAAATTTAAAAATCAAATATTTATCCAACATATTTAAAACAAAAAATATTATCCAATGTCATTCAACAAAATTAAAGTAAACACTCCTAGCAATCCTACATATTTAAAACAAACATTTCAACTAGTTTCTCAATTATTTAAACCTCCTTGAAAAAGGTTTGTATCTTCAATTTCAATGGCCTTCCTTTCATCATTATTATTTTCATTATCATAATTTATAATGAAGTATTATAATGATAAATTTTAATGTAAAATATTAATATTTTAATTTTATAAATGACAGTTTTAATTTAAAATAAATATTACATGAAAAAAAAAAATCATACACTTATAAAAACAAAATAGCAATGCAGGGTGTAGGCCTGTCTTGAGTCTGCTTGAGTTTAGATCTAAATGGGTTGGGCTAAATAGTCCTGTAATGCCCATGTTCTCATTTTTTTGTGGGTATTTTTGGACCAGCTCATCAGGTAGGTCCATTTTGTTGGTTCTACTTGTTGGTGGCTGATTAATGTGTAACAGAACTTTGTGGCCATTGCAATATTTGAGGAAGAGAAGATACAAAAGGTTGGAAAAACCATGTGAGGACGTACTTTGGTTTGGTGGTTTGTGTGGAAAGAGGACCATCCAACTACATCATGGTGGGACTTTTTGAAGCCTTTGCTCAGAGTTTCAGCCTGAGTTTGATCTTAATGGTACCAATTTGGGTCCTAGATGAAGAGCAAGAAGATGAAGTGCAAAATGAAGGGTTGAAGATCAATAATCATAATTGCAACAAGGAAGTAGAATCTTTGGAGCAAAAAAAATAGAACAAAAGTAGAAGGTTTGAAGACAAAGGAGCTAGTAGCACAAGAGCAAGAAACAAATAAAAGAAAATTACAAGAATTGGGAGAAACCCAACAACATTCTGGCCAAAGAATCAGAAAATAGAAGCAAAAATGCAGTTCTTGAGATCTAGAATCATAGTGACAAAGAAGGCTTAGGGATGGGTCTATTTTTGGGTTGCAAAGAAGAGGGGAAAATTGAAGGAAGCCCTGTGTTTAGCATGCAGGGATAGCCAAGGATTAATCCAATATCCATTATCCACAATGGCTGATTTGGGTATGGGTTGTAGAATCAACTGACCACAGAGGCAGAATAAGGTGGAGGATCATGACAATCATCAGCCAAAAATATCATAGAAAGTAGAACACCAAAGGAGCATGGGGGAATCCACCTTTTTGTGTTAGACGCGTCACACGAGGGGCTGAGGCTATTTTTTGGTGACAACACAGTGGGTTTTCAGACTTGCTTCAAACAATGGGAGTCCAGTGGACTTTTCGTTTATCTATCCCATTCACCTTGAGGACAATGTTAAATTTTAGGAGGGAAGTATAGAGAAATACCCATTAGTGAATTAGTTTAGTTAGTTATTATTTGTAGTTAGTCTGTTTGTTATGATTAGTGAAAGGCACTGCATGTGTATGAATGGAATAGAAGAAAGGAAAGGAGATATCTTGTCAGTTAGAAAGGATTAGACTCTTAAGAGACTGCATGTGTGAACAGGGTTTCTCAGATACCCTGAATATTTTATGCAATTTCATTTCTTTTTCTTAAATTTTTATCCAATTTCTATCAAAATTATAATTAATATTTAATTGAATTTCAAATAAAAATGCAGTACAAGGTTACATAAAACTCAGAAGTTTCACATGTCAACAACGCATAATGGGCCTGTTTGGAGAGTTTATGAAATGCTTATGGAAGTCAGCTTATGACTTTCATAAACTGTTTTCAGCTTATTTCATGGTATAACTTATCAAAATAAGTTGTTTTCAGCTTATCTCAATAAGTTTCATCATTAAATTTATTAATGTAAATAATTGTTTTTAAAAGAGCTTATTCAATAAGTGTTTAAATAAGTAGTTATCCAAACACATCTATATAAGACACTGTTATTCACAACACATTGAACTTAAACACTGAAAACAGCCTAACTACTGGATATCTAAGGAGAAGTAGAAGTGCAGATCAAACCAGAGGACAAGTAGAGTGAAATAGAAACAGCGATACAGATGGTGACCCAGGAACTTGATATATGGTACAGAGAATGAGAGAATCATTCATGAACTGTAAATACTGGCAGAGAATGACTAAGAAAGGAGGCTTGGACTGCCAGTGTGAGAGATAATGAGAAAAGGAAGAGATTGACAGATTGAGGGGTGATGGACCAAAAGGGGATTGAGATTGGGAGCTGAAGCTCCTATTAGGTCAAAAAAAATTTACCTTGGTCTTGGGTTGTAGTCACAGGTTGCCCAGCTCGAACATCAGTGTCATGGTGCCCAATTTGTGGAATATTGCTGATTTCAGTTGGATTTCCCCAGCGATCCATCAGAAAATAATCTTCTGTATACATGAGATCAGAAACCAGCACGAAACTTGTCCAATCCAATGAATAATGTGCACTTTGACAACCTTGATTAAATTCCAAGTCTTATTTATGGCCTGTTTGAATGTGTTTTTGTAACATCATAGAAAATCATCATTCTTGGTTTCTTCTCACTGCAGATAATTTTTAGTGACCTACATTCACAACTGTTGAATAATTTTGTATACATGAGATCAGATACCAGCAGGAAACTTGTCCAATCCAATGAATAACATGCACTTTGACAACCTTGATTAAGTTCCAAGTCTTGTTTATCTCTTTGAATGTGTTTATGTAACTTCATAGAAAATCATCTTTCTTGGTTTCTTCTCACTGCAGAATATTTTTTACTGACCAACATTCACAACTGTTGAATAATTTTGAATAGAATTATTGCAAGCTCTTTTTTTTTCTTTTTTTTGGTTTTCTTTAACTTTTACGATGAGATATTCCCAGCATGTTAAAATGTCCAATTGAATTTGAGCTTGGTGTTTGATTTTCAATAAATCTCAACCAAATTTGCTAAAGCTTGGTTTTTGGACCCTTTTAAATAAGCTCTGAGAGTTTCTTTTTTCTTCTTAAATTGTTTTTCATGTTTTTGTATTCATTTTGCAGATTCCACATAAGTGCATCAGTCTTTTATTACTGGCCTGGTGATTCTTCTGAAGTTTAAGGAGCTGATGCAATTGGCGTATTTATAATGAAATGTTACTTACTACAATGATCAGAATATTTAAATTACCAAATGGAGTTCTGTTTTCGCCACTTTTTCATCTTTTCTTCTATTTCAAAATATTGTAGTATTTTAACTTTTAGTTTATCTTCAAAAAAATCTTATGGAACTGTTTTTGTACTGCAAATTATAGTTTTATCCGTATTATGAGGAGTTTGAAATGCTGAACAAATTTTATTTTGAAAGTCACGTTTGTGTGGATCATTGTGCTTCAACTTGGTATGTACAAGTTGCTTGATAGTGTTGTTCTATGTGGATATTGGATACTGTTTTCCCTTGTTCTTTTTTATTATTTTCTTGACTTTTTGTCTTAATTGAACATGGAATGATTGATATGAAACGTGCATAATACGCTAAGTGCCTTTTGTCATCAGTTTCATAGCCCTTGAAAAATTGGTTAGGAACCAACTTATCAAGTGTTTTGTTTTTGTTTCACTTCTGTTAATTGTACGTGTACCTAATTTTGTGCAGTTATTTTGCAGGTTTGACAGCCATACTTATATATACATGTACCAGTAATGAAATCAGTTTAAATTAAGAAGGGAAAAACCAATGCTTTTGATTTAAGTTTGATTTTGATATTCTAGTAAGGTTTCCACATTTTGAGAAATCCTTTTTAATATGGTCGGAGTTCTTCAACCAGGAACAGGACACAGTTTTTCTTTTCTATCTTCCTTACACTTTCGTACAAAAGAGGGGTCGCTTTTTAGGGGGGGTTCTATTTCCTCTTCTAACACAATTTTCAATACTTTGTCACAGTCATGCTTTTATTTAAAATTGTCTTTTAAAGAATGTCAGAAGTTGGGTGAACTTTGTTGGCCTTTTTGGGGGTTTTGTCTACTTACAAACCATGTTTGTATGTTGTGCTTTTCTTTCTTTTGTTCCTCTACTTTTTTCTTTTCTCAAAAGGATGACTAATCACATGCATTGAAATAAAAATTTTACCCCTTAAGGGATATATGATGCTTTTTATAATCACTTCAGAATTTGTTCATTTATATTTATTATTGCTTTAAGCAGTTTTCAAAATGTTCTTGCAACATGGGCTTCTTGACATCCTTTTGGATGGTTTGAATATTTCCAAACTTGCACAATGTTGCATTTTTATGTTACTGGAAGCCAAATTTGGTCATTTAAGTTGTGTTTTATGGGTGTTTAATGTTCAACTCAAATCCTGCGTCTGAAGTAAAAGATGAAGTCAGCTCTGTCGTAGTGATTTGGACTTATGTGTGGCTGATTGATTATCCTCAAATGAATAGGTGGCTTTCCTGGACTGGAAGGTAAGTCGCAGTATATTATGTCTAGTTTCTTATCTTTATTTTAGTTGAAAGGTTAATGCATTGACATACATAGTGTTGAAAGTTTTAATTGGACAAATTTGCTGTCTTTACTTGGAAATTAAGAAAAGCCGTTACTCTCTGTTTGTTTGGGAGATAGCCATCACGTCCCACATCTTGGCTCCTCCCTCTAATTAGAAAATAACATGAGAAAGCTAATTAATTAGGCATGCTTTGTATGAAAGGAAGGCGTAAAACATAAAACATCTGCCAGAATATATCATTACTTTGATTAAGCACCACGGGAGATTGATAGGTTGAGGTAAAAAACTTCGTGTATTAGTATTACTTGAGCCAACCCTGATCTACCTTGTTTCTAGAAATTTAAGTTAAAATGCACTGTGGGATATTTATAGGTTGAGGTAAAATCTCTTCGTGCCCGCATTGCTTTTGTTTATTTATATATTTGCTTTTGAGATGTTTATTTCTTTTGTTTTTTTTGTTCAATTGAGATGTTTATATGTTTGACGCAATATTGCATTGTTTTTTTTTGACTGACCGGGGTCCTCCTCCCTCTTAGTTAGATGATGCGTTTTTTTTATCTATGATCTCCTATCTATAATCTATAACATTTGTTAAGATCGTGAATTGTTACGCCCAACCTTGCAACCTTAATATGTATACACTAATTGACAAGAAATGTTTAAAACACTGATAATTAACGGGAGAGAATTGCTAGTAAAACAATCCTTTTTATACATTTGTTGTAATTGATCAGTTTTTGAAAGGTTAAAGTGAATTTTAAAAGGAGATTGATTTACAATGTAAATGCTTTGATTTTCAAAATATAAATTAATCACAAGAATTTTGATTAGTGTGCTTGAAAAGTGATAGCATTTTTTTTAGATTAGGAACAGAATGATATTATCTACTGTCAATGAAAATGTTATTAAAATAAATTTCGTTCTATGTAAAGTATTCTATTATTAATTATATGAAAGTGTTTTAATTTAATATTTTGTTCACAATGAACCGGATATTATTTTATTCATGCAAATTCATTGGACGGGTCATGAAACAGTCGTTTTTATGCAAATAGACTAATATAACATTTTCAAATAATTAATAAAGTACGTATCATTAAAGTAAAAGATTAATTTTTATTAGGAAATAATATTAAGAAAGTGTACTTAAATTGTCCTTCAAAAATTAGTTAACCTTAATTCGTAACACGTTGCAAGGCAAATATTATGGAAATGCGTGCAGTTCTGAACCTTTTGTAATAGTGTTGCAGCGAGTACATTGCCATCTTTTTACCTTAGAAAACAATATCAAGGTGAGTTAATAAGGTGATCATGATTTCTATGTTTCATACTAATAGCTAAGTTCTATCTGTTTTTTTTTTTTTTTCAGCTTAGAAACTCTTTTAGACTTGGTCCAAAGGAGGCCCATTTTTTTCAGTTCCAGTGTAAAATTGGGAGGGGGGGGGGGGGGTGGGTTGTTCTTATTTCTTAGTTAAGTTGAAAGGTGATTATAAATAAAACTTAATGCACCTCCTTAAAACACAAGCATAAGCAATTTAAGGTGCTTTAATGGTAAGTAGATAAAAAGGGAGATTGCGAGAAATTCCAAGAATTTAGTTAATGCGTATTACCTATACATATCAGGAATGACGCCAACTCAATAATGAAGTTTGTGAGATATTTTGTCTATACAATTAACTTTTACCTTCCATTGAGATTAATGTTATCTGTTAATAAGGAAGAAAAATAAAGTAAAAAATATGACAAAAGAGAAAATAAAAAAAAATGCAAGAGTTAAAATATAATTATTTAATATAAACATGGAGTGAGGGGTTATTTTATTCAAGGAGTAAGATGCACAGTTTCCAATCTTCCCAGACCCCTTTTAATTACATAAGCACATTCTGATTAAGTGGGATTCAAACCAGAAACATACATACCTTTTAGCATCTCTTTCGACAGTTTAGCGAAATATGATTTGCAGCTTTTGAAACGCATAATTTTATTATATATTTTCATGTAAAGAGTGCGCTTTAAATGCTGAAACAGGTATAATTCCACTTTAATAATTTTATGCGGGGTAGCTAATCTTTCATTTTAAAATGAGAAGTGATCAATATTAAAATAGTAAAAGAAATTGCCCAGCAAATAATAATACCTAGTATATTTACTCAGCATATGACGTTCCAACCCTTTTTTTTCGTCTACTTCCTTTGGAAAAGGATTAAAGAAAGCTTCAAAGTTCAAATGAGGCACATTAAGAGCACAGATATTCTGGCGATTAATACATACAAACTTGGATAGCCAAATATATGTTTATTTAATTTATGGACTTGGAGCATCAATCACATTTACTTTAAAACAATATATCTGACTTGATTGCGCATGAGCAGGACCTGCATATTCAACACAATCTATGTTCGTAATAGAAATTAATATAAAGTACCAAAAAGAAAAGTATATAACTATATAATAAAACTCTACTTTAACTTAATATACATACTGCAAAACTTTTACATTATAATAAAGCGTTATTGTATAATTTACTAAATTTGAAACTTTATATGTTATCAAGTCCATCGATCAAATTAAATAATTGATAATATATATTTTTCAATGAGCGTTTTAAAATAAAGTTTTTAATAGGAATAGGAATAGGAATCTCTAGTATCTGCCGCCAGCCAGCCGCTTACTTACACTTGTGGTCTCAGACATTTGCTTCTGAGTACTGACAGAGGAGTGGCCTCCAACTTTCTCGATTAAAAAACTTTGTTAATATGGAATGAAGTAGACAGAGAGAAAAGTCATATTTTATATCTATTATTCAGTCTTAACAAGACAAACTATAGATATTAAATCGATGAATCATTTATATTATTTTTATTACCAACGGCTACATATCCCTTAAAGACAAGTAGAGGTAAAAGTAAGTCAGGTTATTTATTGAGAGTCTATTTAGTTTATGGAAAAATGTTAATATGTTTTTTAATTTTCCTTTATTATTCACTGAATTTTTTTGAACCTTATAAAAATTAGGTGAGTTTTTTTTCTTAATTTAATAATATTTATTCATACTTTTTATTATTGTTAGATTTTAATTAATAACAAAAATATAAAAATATTTAATATGGAATTTAAGTTATCTTTGGTATATTTACTAAAATTTAATATTTTATAATTTTTAATTAAAAATTATGTTTTATAGGTTTATTTTTTTAAAAAAAAGTCTAATAAACCAATCTATAATAATAACAACAACAATAATAATAGAAATAATATAAGTAAGTTTAATCACATAATAATAGATAGAGAAATGTTATTAATATATTTTTTATTATAATTTTTAGCATATTTGTAATTATTAATTAAAATTTTGACTAAAATTTATTAAAATATATATGAATTATATTATTTTTTACTCTTAAATTAATATTTTTATCATAAAAAATTTGTTAACCTATTTGGATACACATAGTTAAAGTTAAAAAAAATCTATAATTAGATTTATGTCCACTTATCCTTTTACTTGATAATATATTACGTGAGAGGATGAAAGGGAAAAATAGTTAATATAAGAAGTTTGCTTATTGGTATTTTAAAAAAAATAATTTTTTATTGCAAATTATATTAAAATGTATTGAGAATAATATTGATAACTTATTTTAATGTTGAAGTATGGTGTATCTAAGATTGGAAAATGGAAATTAAAGGGCCTAAGTTTGTGTTGATACGTGAAAAGAACAGCTGCACGTGCATTTCCTCGGTGGAATGAGCACGCGGATTCTTATGCATACATTACATGTGCCTTTGAATGAGTTTGTCCGTTTGCTGAGCCTTCAAAATCACATGCTGCTGCTGCGCCCACTAGTTTTCTTATGGATTTTTTAATTTGTATTTAATACATATTTTTTTATGATAATTTAAAGTATATAATAAAATGTATTTATTTATATTTTCAAATGCAGGTTAGAAAAATTGATATCCCTACAATTCCCCCTTACTATGCAGTATCTCTACTACATGCACTCACACACAAACCCAAGCTAAGAGTGAAGATATTGTTCAGAGTTTTGTAATATTTTTATAAATTTTTAATTTTTTTTAGTGTTTAATAAAATATTATATTTATATAATTTTACAAATATAAAAATATTTAATAATTATGAGAATTCGCAAGAAAATTTTTGAAGTATTATATTGGGCATGTAAAGATATTAAGAGAGCAAATTCATTGCAAGACAACAACTGGAAGTTTCCAAAATCTCAGGAAAGTGTCTGGTGTAAACGTGATTTTGTAATGGTGCATGTTTGGTTTATATATATATATATATATATATTGGAGAGAAGGTGCCTTCAAACTTTGCTGCATCTTAATAGGGAAACTATTTTAAAGAGAAAACAAAAACGCAAGTCTATAAAAGTGCTTCACATTCGATACTTACTTGCTCGTGCTTTTGTCTTTGCAAAGTCTCACACCTGGGTCAGCACAGTTCCTAGGTAGGTAATATGTAATTCTGCCATAATGTTTTGTTGATTCTCTTATATATAACATTTTCTATTTTGCCATAATCTTAATCTCTTGCTAACATAGGCAAAAGATTTCTCAAAGCCTCTCATCTTTCCTAATTTGATAAGGTAGAAAGGAAAAATATACGTTTACTTGATGTTATTTTATGTAGCTTTCCCGTACTCAAAAAGCTATGGCAAATGTAGTACATGTTTGGAATCTCTATAAAATCATGTTAATTGCATTTTAATATAAAAATTATGATTTATAGTGTTAAAATAATCTAACTTCATTTAACTTGAATAAAAAAGTCCTAGCAAATTAACATACCGGAAAAGCTAACAATTCAACACATGCTTTAGCCAAAAAATAAAATAAAATTGGTGATAGTTGTCTTCTGTAAAATTTAAGAACAAACAGGCTTGTGATATTTTTATAAATATAAGTTAATTAAATACTTTCTTTGTTAAAAAATTTGATTCTAACTTGTTCTTAAAAGTTAATTTACTTTTTATGAAGTACTATATTTCTAAATACTATATTTATAAAAACTAATCTAACATTTAAATTAAATCAAAATTTAACAACATATTTTTAAAAGTTAACTCGTAAGAAATATTTTTCATAAGAAGTATTTTGAATTATTTCAAGCCAATGCAAGCTATTTTAATATATTTAATAAATTTATATTATGTCATATTTTTTAAAAAGTAAATTAAAAACTTATTCTCATAAAAAAAAGTCATAAAAATTATGTTTGCTTCCTGTCTCCACAGGGGGAATGGCTATATGGAATAAAAAGGGAAGCTTTGAATTGGTGTTGGTATGACACTAATAAAATAAATGTGGGGCATGCACAGCACCAATGGGAGCCATTCATCGTATTAGCAACCAGAAAGAAAGTAAAATCATTGTTCACTTTGATTACTATGTTTTAATTCTATTCCAATGTTCCTTACTCTTTGGAGAGGGACTCTAACACCTCTTTTTTTATCATTTCTTTTTATTAATAATTAAGTTTTGTTAGAGCTTATAAAATATTGTAGTTTGCAGTTCCTTTCTAATAAATTTTCCTCGTAACTTTATAAATTTAAGTAAATGTCACGCAATGATAAATAATGTCTATTTTCACAAAGTCAATTTTGTCATGCCTTTTTTTTTACACCACTTCAATTATGTAAATCATATTGTATTATTCTAACTTATTTTTATTGGTTAATTTTAAAAATAATAACTAAATAAATAATATTATTAATATTTCTATTTATATTAAAATGATTTATAAATTTTGGTATGACATTTGTTATTATTATTTGTATTGATAGTAAGTGTTTAAATACATTAAAATTAAATAAAGATAAAGTATAATTAAAAATTAATTAATTAATTTAAATTAAACATATAAATAAGAGTATTTTTCCTTCTGAATAAAATTATGAAAATGAATGAAAGTATTACGTTATGAAATAAGTCTATTCCTTAGTAAAATAAAAAAAAAGTTATAAAACACAGAGACCATTTTATTTTTATTATTTTTTTTTTGTGTAAAAGAAATTTAGGTGAGTAAAGTCTCAGGAAAAATTATCCACTAACAGATATTCACATTGGAAGTTGGATTTGAACTCACATGCTTGTAGGATACAAATCCATTCCTTACTAAATGGACCAACCTTCCTTGGCTATTCACAACATCCTTTGGTTTTTTAAATAATAGTTTTCAAACTCCCTACCTTTTATATTTTAAATAATCTTAATTACTAAATAAAAAAAATGTTAAATATTTTTTGTTTTTTAAAATAATAAATACATGCTCTTTTTCATTTAATGCTTACTTTATAAAATAATAAAAAGATTATTAAATAGCATGCCATCATAATGGTAGCAAAAAAATATACAATGTTGATCAAATTTAATTAGTGGATCCTACAATTAATTATGATGAGCATTTATTATTTAATAAAAAATATATATTTTTCTTTAACATAATTATATCATGCTAATTAATGCTAGTAACACACACTCTTTCCCCACATAAACATAATCAACCACCATATGAAACCAGCATAAAAGTAGCAGAATAAATTTCCAGCAGGGAAAGACATGCATAAGAGCACAATAGGCAAGAACTTGCACAACACTGAGTCCTGCTTGGTGCAAAGCATCTTTACTTTTTATTTATTGAATGAATAACTTTTTACCATTAAAAATTAGGAAAGAGAAAAGGAGAAAACGTAGATTCGTTTCCATTTACTACTATAATATATATCAAATTTTGTAAAATGTCTTCAGAGAGACACCTTAATAATTATAAAATATAATGTTCTACAATATAACAATTTTATTAACTTCAATTTTTAAAATAATTTAAGTGTATAAAAATAAATTTTTATTTAAAAAATTATTATATTTTTTAAAAATGTTATTTTTAATGTAATCAACTACTAATATTCAGATTTATGAATGTTATTAAAACTCATTTATTATACTTTTATAACGTTATATAATAAATATATTATTTTGAATAAAAACTGAAATTGAATATTAAAAAAAGAGAATTAATGGCGCTTAATAATTAAACTTAAAGGATGAAGTAATGATATTATAGAATGTAATAGTTTTATCTTTTGAAAAATGGGAAGTACATGTTCCTAAGCTTGGCGTGGTTGGTGTCCCCACTCCCAGATTGGATCGTGCAGCAGCAACTACTAACTAGCAAATAGGTGAAGGACCCAAGTGAAAGTGTAGACAGTACCCTCAGATTTTGTTTTAAGTCAGAACAGTCTATTCTTCCAACAGTTTCCAAAACTTGTTTATTGCTTTATATTAATTCTTCATTTTTCCCTTAGAAGGGAAAACTTAATCATTCTTTTGGTTTACATAAGCAATGTTCCCTAAGAGAATGTTTAGGCCCCTTCTTTCTATCACCAAAAATAGTTCCTTTTTCACTGAGATTCCTTCAGTATCAGCTTTGCCCTTTTGTTCTTCCATACACACTGTCAGTGCTGATCGCTAACGAAAAAAATGATCACGTGCATATTTTGTTGATTACCCTTTTCTCTCTAATCATCATCCAGTGTGGGTCTTGGAGTGGAGCTTCTGTTGGCCATCATTTTTCTTCATTTCCCTTTGATATCTGATCTGGGTCGTCGTCTTTTTCTTCTGGAACCAATTTTTACTTGCTTTGTGTTTGTGAGTTGTTCTCACCAAATCTCCAGAATTCAAGAGAAATTAGCTGTGTTTTGTTTCTCTGGAGTCAAATTTGGTGCCAACTTTGTTCATTTGGATGTAAAATCACTGCATAGACACTTTACCCTTGTTTGTCAGGTCACTTTGTTGCAATTGAGTTTTGTGGGGTATTGGGATTTGTTTATTTATTTAAAAGTGGGAAATGAAACACATAGAGTGGTTGTAGGCTGTTTCCGGTGTTCAGATAATGGGATCTCAAGGTGGGGCAATCCAAGAGCCAAAGCCTGGGGCTTTGGCCAGGCAAGGGTCTATGTACAATCTCACCCTTGATGAGGTGCATAATCAGCTTGGAAATTTTGGGAAACCTCTAGGAAGCATGAATCTAGATGAGTTGCTAAAGAGTGTGTGGACTGTTGAATCTGGAACTGATGCTTACATGCAGCATGGTCAGCTTCAGGTAGCTTCTGGGTCATCTTTGAATCCACAGGGAAGCCTAACATTGTGTGGTGATCTTAGCAAGAAAACTATTGATGAGGTTTGGAGAGATATGCAACAGAAGAAGAGTGGTAGTAGTCAAGATAGGAAAACTCAAGAAAGACAACCTACACTGGGTGAGATGACGCTGGAGGATTTCTTGGTGAAGGCAGGGGTGACTCCTGAGTCTTTTTGTAATGAGGATAATGCTATTGCTATGTCAGGGGTTGATTCTCAACACAATGCATCCCAGCATGCTCACTGGATGCAGTACCAACTTACTTCAGTGCAGCAGCAGCCACAACAACAGCATCAGCAGCAAAATCAGCAGAGTAGTGCGATGCCAAGTTTTGCGGGTTTTATGGCTGGCCATGTGGTTCAACAGCCTCTACCGGTTGTGGTGAATCCAGTTCTGGATGCTGGATACTCTGACACAATGCCATCTTCTTTGTTGGGTGCTTTATCAGATACACAGACTCCAGGGAGGAAAAGGGTTGCCTCTGGTAATGTGGTTGAGAAAACTGTTGAGAGGAGGCAGAAGAGGATGATTAAAAATAGAGAATCTGCAGCTCGGTCCCGTGCTAGAAAACAGGTTTTTCTTTTGTCTTCTTCTTGTTGTATGGTGTTATTTCTTTCAATTTTTTAAAAAAATTTGACACAAGGTTGCATATATGTGAATGGGCAGGCTTACACACAAGAACTGGAGATTAAAGTTTCACGTTTAGAAGAAGAGAATGAAAGGCTTAGAAGACGGAATGTATGTTTCAATCATGCATCTTTGTTTTAATACTTTCTGCTGATATTTGTTGGTCAGATTGCGTCCTTCCATCTTGGCAGGGCAATGGATTGTTGAAATGTTTGTTAATTAAGACTTCAACTTGCCAATGCTTGTTCATGATGGAATGCTTAATATAATTTAATGATTGGTGAATTGTTTCTGTTATCATTGCTTAGCATTTTGACTTTGCTTGATATGAATGTATATTTTCCTTATTAATCAGTGTGGAATATCTACCAAAAATATAGAAGATATGTTTCTCAATGTGAAGCAAAATTTCTTCATTTGCTATCAATATCTGCAAGTGATGCAATGCAGAAAAAAACATCATTGTTTGACAATGCTTGTATTTCACTGTTACATTGCTGTTTGGTTTTTCTAATTATGGCTAACTGGGGAAGTCAATCTGGAAGGAATGGAATCAAAGTATTAGTGTTATAAGTATATTTTGTTAAATTATATAAAATGTATGGCTGTTGAACTAGAAATCTTTAAGTGAATTTGGCATGCTCTAGAGTTTAGTGATTGCAAATGGATTTGTAAGAATCACATAGCCCTTGTAAGGACAGTTAATTTTTCATGCTTCTCCTGTATGGCTCTTTTGTTTTGGTCTTTTTCTCTGGTTAGTTATTATCCTATTGAACTTCAGCAGCCAATAACTTTAGGGTGGTGGGCTTGGTTTTAGTTTTGTGATACTCTTTGTTCACTTTTTTCTGACTTTCATACATTATGAAGTTCTTCCTTATTTGACAGTTGTTACTTATCTCTGCTTAATTTCTTGGCGTTATCACTAGAAGACTTGCAGATTTCAGAACATGTCCTCCATTTGACTGGTTTGATAGTTCCAATGACAGAAATGTGCTCTGGATTATCAGTTTCTGACTTTTTTTTACAAAATTGGAAGTGTGATATATCAATTGCAAGCTTTGATTTGTTGATCTATCTTTGCATGCTATAAATATTTTTCTCCTTTCTTGAGCAATAAAATATTTTCTCTTTCTCTGAATAATGTTTTGGTGAGTATATAACTACTACTCTGTCTGCCATGACTTCCAAAATGTGAGGTCTTTCTGTTGGGTAAAATGTTATTTTAGTGTTTCAAATTAAGAATGTTGGGTAAAAAGTTGTAGGTACAAAGTGTTTGAGATTTTTATGTGCATGATTTCGTTTGAGAGTTTTGAGGTCAAGAAAAGAAAGGTGTGATAGATTTGGGTTCTTTGAAGATGAAAATATGATAAGTGCTTTAGCATTTTGGGCTTGTGTCAGATGAAGAGAAGAGTGTTAAGAAGGGTCTCAAGGGTTAAAAAAAATTCATGTCTGTTCAAAAATATTTTTTCGTGCTCTGGCATTGTGTTTAGTTTGTCGTGCTGACACACTTCAAGCCAATGCTATACGAATCAATATTAATACAGAAAATCAAATCTTGGTGCTATTGAAATTGAATGCAATAAGCTGAATAAAAATAACTTCTATCATATATTTTCATTTTCTGTTTGTATTTGGAATAGTACCATCATACAAGTATTTGAGTTTTGAAGCATTTAATTATGTTTCAGTACCATTTCTCCAAGAGAAATAGCTTCAATCCTAATCCTAAGCCATATCATACTATTATTTTGAACAAATACTGCACATGTAGAGTTTTCATGTACCAAGAGGACTACCTTATTTGAAATTAAAAGTAAACCCAGAAAAATATCCTCACCAATTATACTTTACCAGCTAAAACTTTCTTGAAAAAGCTTCACAGTCATAGAGCTTGAAGGACATAACTCTCTCTCTGTGATATGGCTTTACCCTACAAAAATGATCTATGACCAACAATATGGTATATTGCTAACTGGTAGTCCGAGTTTGCAACTTACTAACTACTATTGTGTACTTGTTTTTCTTCAATTTGCTGAATTGTTTACATTGTTGAAGCAAAATAACTCACGAAGAATGATTTAAATAATAGCATCAGAGATTGTTCTAGGTGATTTATCTCTGCTCATAGTAACCCTTTGTTATCATGCAGGAGATAGAGAGGGTGTTGCCAACTGTTCCACCGCCTGACCCTAAGCATCAGCTTCGCAGAACTAGTTCAGCTCCCCTTTGATGGCTCCATTGCAAATGAGTTCCTAGCAAACTTTTATGCACTCTCATTAGTCCTCATTTGCAATGTATGTAATTGGCAGTCAAGTTTCCAACATTTGGAAGGTTGTTTTTCTCTGGGCAGTGCTGCCTGTTTATTCTCCTCGGCATGCCCTCCTGTAAGAGTATTTTCCTGTATGTACATTTTATAAGCATGACTTCCAATTTACGCAGCACTAAAAATATGCGTTACTGTAATTTTGAACATATTGTGGCTGTGACCATGTTCTTATGTCCTGTTAGCTTGTGTGGGGTGTAACTTGTAATCATTACCCCACTGCACAGGCTAAAACCGGTTAAACGTTTTGGTTTTATACTAATTTCATGAAGAATATAATTTTGCCTTCTAAATAAGGGTGGAATCATAGGTCTCATGGTAAATGTTGCGAATAAAATTGGTTTCTGATATGAGGTTACTGACTATAGTATGATTGGAAACATAATGGGAGACTCCAAAATCAAGTTTGAGGCGGGTGAATGTGATACGCAAGAAAAAAAATAATGATTGGTTGTTTTAAAAAAAAAAAAACAGAATTCTTTTTCACTCTTAAAAGCAAGTTTGACTAAAAGCAGAAAAAGAATCTATAACATATGCTTTGAGTTGGGAGTTTTACATTAAGTTGTAAATTGTAATACAAATTTTAAGATAAATTTTATAGACACCGTTCACTTCACTTTAAAATTAAATTTACCAACATAAAATCATTCAAAATCATCTTTGTAAACAGTCAAAGAAACATAAATACACCTAGATTATGGGGATAACGGGCTTGTGTCTGTTTGGGCCTTTTGGGAACATGATTAATATAGAATGAATGGAATCTGTTATTCTGTAAAGCAAAAATGCAAGGAAAAAAAATCACTTTAAGCTATTTTCATAATATTTGAGAGGCTAAAATCTGTGGGATGGAGTTCAAATGTGTTTAACTTGCTTCTTCTCACTTTTTGTGTGAAGTGGAATTTTATTTTAAAATATAGACCTCATTTTTTTGTTTACACAATTGATGTTAGCCTAACTGGTGCTGAACGTAGGAGTATGAGTATGTCTTAAATATCAAATCCAGGGATGATTTAGGTTAAGAAGAAACACTACAGAGAAACTCATAAACCTTATAATGAATTAATGCGTGAACACTAGCATCAATTACTATCTGGTCCACGGGCCACTCTCTTGAGTCATAAATAAATAGGTATGGGATGGTGTGGGAACTCAAATAGTCAAATCACTTGAACATGTCTGAAAGATCACCTCTTTTGTGGCTTCTCTGAAGGTGGGGTCTAGGTATATCTCTTACCAATTTCAAGACATATACTAGGGAGAAACTTGAAGATTTTGCCCAATTCCTCGCACCAAAATAAATTTAAACCTCTCTAATCTAATCAACCTTATGTATTACATGTACCAAATTTGCATAAACTTGGCCGGGTTTATCCATTGATGTGCCACTATCCAGAAAAAAAGACACAAAATTGATTATTGTAGTTCCAGACATTCATCACTTGTGAAGATGCAAGCTTCACAGTCCATTGGTGATCTAAAATACATTATCCAGAAACTTAAGCAGAAGAACACATAATAATAAATGCCTTTTATTTTGGCTTTGTAAAGAAACTGAGCGTTTTACTAATATATATTGTCTTTAGTCTAAAAGGAAATTTTCGAGAGAATTACAAATAATTTTAATCGTGCATATATATATAAAGAAACCCATTTTTTGTTATCAACAAAAGAACATACAATTGCGCATGTTGTTGAGCAATTTAAGAAGTGTTAGGAACCATTGTAGCCATTTAATTGTCATGTCATCATTGTTTATAACACACGAACATCCGCAAGGCAGCATTAGCATAAATGTATATCAACGAGTAGTTGACATGTTTGCCTAAATGGGGAGCAACAAATATCACTAATACGGATTCCAATGCTGTAATTGGATAGCTCATTAACAGTAGGATTAGATTTGCTTAACTGAAAACGTACGAGGACTAAAATCCAGTGAAGAAAAAACCTAAAGTGACTACAATCACCCATTAGTGAAGTTACTGAGACTAGAAGTATAATAAAGCCTTTAATTTTTCAAAAATTTAGTGATGCTTTTCTCATTATCTTTCTGTATTTCTCTACTTTTCCTTGTTTCTTAAGTTTACTGGCCATATACATGAATCTTCATAATTAGCCATTTCTTTTTTGGGTGCACCCATAACTAATAGTTCTACTTTATGCATTGACTACCATCAGAAAAAAATTGCCAAAGTGTCTCTTTGGTCCCTGGAATGATATGGTTTTTTAAACAAGAGACATGAGATTAAATTTACCATGGATCTGAAGATTATCTTTTTGAAATAAGGTGATAATAATGTAAAGGTTCCTCCAGCTTAAAGTAATGAACTGGCCTTGGGGTACCCTGATATAATGAATAACACTATTATCTTTATAAAGGGAAATGCTTTATTATAATTAGATTTTAAATCATAGACTTGCGTGCAAAAACAGGCAGGTAAACGGACAGATTTTTTATTTATTTTTTTAAAGTGAGGAGCACATCATGTATATGACTTTTATGTAGGTAAGCTAGCTCATTTTACAATCAGTTCCCATTTAGTTAGACAATTGACACTAATCATTCTACAGATTATATTAAAGATAATTCTGGTTCTGTTATTAAACTTACATTTTACATTGATTGTTGAACTTCGACACGCGTAGAAATCATTTATTTATGTGGATGACAAACTTATTATCATAATGCCGGGAAGTAAGAAAGATGTTCAGGGAATACATGGTGAAGTTTCATTTCAAGGCTTACTAGGAAGTAAAATTCAATTCTAACCTGGAGGAACATTTTCTAGAGAGTTAGGCTGAAAAATCTTGCGTGATGTGAAGCTATAATGGAAAATTTTGGTGACCTTTTTCACCAGGAAAACTTTTTTGAAGTTCTACACTCTACAGAATACAGAACTCTCATCCCAACTCCCTTCCATTTCTACCTTAATGAGGAATTAATATATAAACGGAAAAAAGAACCGTAATCTTTATTACATAAATAAGATTCTGGATTAAAATAGTTTAATTAGTATTATCTTTTAACTTAAAATTATATATTTCAATTACTGTAAATACACATGGACTAATTGGTGATATGTAGCCGACTTATTTTCAACTTAGATCTTCAACTTTCTTACTCATTAAGATGGACATTCAAATCTCCAAATTATTGCTCAGCAGCTCGAGAACTGTACAGAAACAAAAAAGAAAGAAATTAAAGATAATTTTTAGTTAATATATGAAGATTTTTAAGTTACAAATAGTAATGGAAGGTAAATTTTTTCTTGTATCTTTCCTACATTTTTTTTAGTACACATAGTAAGAACAAGTTTTGCATCAAACAAGGCCCTACAAATTATTTCAGATAAACAAAACAAGTCAAACGGCAGAAATAGATAAAATGTGCAACGGGTAATAAGAATTTTCAAAACATTGGTATATTAAGTAGAGATGTTGAGGAGGAATAAAAAGAAAAATGTAAATAATAATCTTCCACGATGCGTGCAATCCCAACCTTTTTTTGAGGGGAGTGGGGGGAAGAGGGGTGTTGAGGGGTTAAAAGTATAGAGCTAGCTTCTTACTCTGATAGTCTTATATTTAATAATTTCATTTTGTTTTATAGGTTAGCTAGCAGCACATTCACGAGCCTAAAGAGGAATATATTCCAAACAACATCAGCCTCTAGAAAACACAAAATTAATACAACGGGGAAGCTTGTCATTACTATCTCCATCAACAACAACAATGCCTTATCTCTCAAGATGAGGTTGGCTAAAAGATCAAACAATGTCATCACTGGCTATTAGCTAATTGATAACTCTGATATTGACTCAGACCATAATAACCTGAACATTGATAAGTATCCTGCTCCCAACATTCATCATCCATGATCACAGGTGTAATGCATGTCAATCCATTTCTGTTGGGTGAGACAGCGCAGGGTTTATGACTCTCACAACAGGAGAGAAGAATGCATTATATCTATATTAATATGTACAAATGGATTGCATGAAATATAATTTACAGAAGCATGATTTGTACTTTCTACCAGAAAAAGGCACTACACATTACAATGAGACACGTTGACCTACAAATGGAAACTAGTTCTTACTGTCCACTCTCCTTATCTTCATCCTTTTTTGTCTCCAAATCAAATCCAAACCCAGCATCATCCTCATACAAGTTTGATTCCAACTGAACAACATTACAGTCATTCTTTTGTGCGATCTTTCTTACTTGGGAAGCAGTGAAGCCATCCTTTGAACCATCATCGGTTCTCTGTTTTTTAAGTGGAGACAAGGTGCCTGCAAGGGTATCACTAGATCCAGAAGGCTCAGACTGGGGATAGTTTTGCTTATCATTGGACAATGGAAGAGTTTCCGAGGATGTCAATGTGCTACCTAATTTCTGTTGTTCCTCTATTATTTTTTGCAAGTATTTACCCTGTGCTTCAATTCTCATTTGTAACTGTTTTTGAACCTGGAATATCATTGGAAAAAATGAAAGTCTTTATCATTAGCAGAAGTGCTTACTCATAGAAGCACAATACTACGAAATTTAACATGTTTCATTCATCTTGTTAAATTTCTCTTTATCAGAAGGCTAATTTAACAGGTATATGTGATGGGTTTACCCAGCCAGCAAAAGATGCAAGACTCACAGATAAAACAAATGCATAGTTAATTTGACACTAATAGTTAAAAAAATTATGGAAAAATCAACCCATCTATTCAAATTACTACACTAACATTTGAAGTTTCTATAGTAAGTTAAGCTTAGACCAATCACTTATATCAGCCATATGAATATTTATTCAATCATTCCTCTTTAAGACATGTCACACGTTCCAATTTCATTCAGTCAACAAGAAAAAAAGAAATCATCCATACAGTATAACAAACAAAATTTACTTTAGTTATAAATGACTGAAATTGTTAAGGGAATGATGAAATAGATGTGTGCTTTAGGTGGAGTAGCCAAGTTCAATTTATATAGGCTTAATTGCACTTTTAGCCCTTATACTTTAGTTAATGTGTGATTCTAGTACTCTTCATAATTAATCAATTGTTTAAATTAAACTTTTATTCTGAAATTTCATCCAATAATTAACAAAATTATAATAAAGATGTAATATATCATTGATTTATGTAGATTCTAAGAAAAAGGTATATAAAATAATTAACTAAAAGTAAAAAAAGACTTTATTATATTTAATATATTTTATTTATATATTTTATACACTTTTTCTTTACTAATTTATACAAATCAATAATAGCCACATACCTATTATAATTTTGTTAATTATTTAATGGTATTTTAAGATAACTTAATTTAAACAATTGAAAAATTATGAAGACTAAATACGAACAATTAAAACTAGGAGGATCAAAATTGCACATATGTTTAAAGTAGAAGAACAAAAAAAAGAAATTACACATTAATTATAAAACAGATGAAAAAAATTCACTATTTGCTATGTGATTTTTTAAAACGGAAAGAAAGTGAAAAGAGGGTGACATTTTTTAAATTAAAATAAGAACATTTTCTCAAATCAAACAACCTCTTATATACTACTAAAAGGTGGTATGAATTCTAAAAGGAAGACAAATGATCTGTATTCTAGCATTAGAGAGATACAGGAAGTATGCTATTGCATTTTTTTTCCTTAACCTATTATTTTTGCACTAATTTGTGTTAACAGACTAGCATGTATCTCATTCTAAATCTCTAACCAATGAACAAAGCAGGGGAAGGGTAAGAGTGTTTCTGAGCTAAAATAGCGTACTCTTTCAGCAATTAGGAAAATAGTAAGACCAGGTACCAAACCTCAAGTTGTTCATGTAGACGTTTCTGAACCTCCATCTGCATTCTTAGAGCATCATTGATTGGCAATCCCCTGGAGGTCATGAAGGTTTTATTAAAATATTAGAGGTAGATGTAGCACAGTTAAGGAATTATAATTATCTTAGGGAAACAATTAAGATACCGACGGGGATGAATCTGTGCCAGAAACACTATCTCCAGAATTCCTTTTTTCATCTTTAGAATCTGAAAGTTCAAAAAATTATCCCAGACTCCATTGAAAAATGTGAAATCAAAACATGACATTTCTGATTAATTTGTTTAGGAGGCAGGGCAAGAAAATACAAGGCACCTTTACCATCAGCTGGTGATTCAGGCAAGTACTTTGCAAGGCGATACTTCTACATATAATGATAACAGAGAATTTAGAATCAATGTTACATTAAGTAAACAAGGTTGTCTTATGTGCACATACATAAGTTATTAAACCAGATGATAATACCTGTAAATGGCTTTTAACATGATATATGGTCAGTCCAGGTACACCCATCACTCTAAGAACACCTTTTGGTGTGGCTCCTGTTGTAAATAATTTAAAAATTTAGAAAGTTTCATGGAAAATAGCTAATTTTTTCAAAATCAATAGGCTAAAGAAGTAAAGGCCAAAATGAAAAGGGAAAGAAAAAGAGTAGCACTTTCCATCAATGAGTCTACATCAAGTATAAATAATTAGCCACCAAAAATAAAAATTCAAATGAATTCCTAACTAGAATATGCATTGCCTGCCTGCCTGGCATGCACAGAGTTGAATACAATTGTTTCAAATAACAATTTGTCCTGCCAAACAATTGACTACACATTAAGAATAAACAATAGGAGTCAATCCAACATAACTCACCATTGCTAGTCTTTGTTCGCTCAAGAATGCATATCAGATCCCACTATAATTTCTTTACTAAAAGAAATAGCACTTGAGAAATTTTTTTCCAGAAATCATTAAAAGGTGCATAAGGTGACTTAAGTTTGAGGCGAAATAAAACTTCAGAGTCACTTATGACTCAAAAAGCAGCATTAATTCTCATTTAATAGAATACAATCCATGCATTCCGAAACAGTATTGTCAATTAGTCCACAACTCAATGCAATCCTTGAGGTGCAAGTAACAAAATGAGCAACGATATCAATAGTTACAGGAATAAATTGATCAGAGCTTTCAAACAAAAACATTTAACAGGCCTTTGCACACAAAACTCTGCCAAGTAATTTCCAAAAAGCATTCTCTTTCCTATACATGCTTTTGCAATATCAAGATGAATTACAACAAACAGAATTTTCATTTCTTCCCCCCTAGAGGATACGTGTTAATCTCAATACTGAAAAGAAATACCCACTATCTGGTCCACCAAGTTGTGTAATGGCATCCACAAAACGGTCATGAAGATCAGATGTCCATCGCAAACGTTGTTTCCCACTTCCCCCAGCAGGTGCGGCATTTTTTACTGCAGATCCACCCAAAACACCAACATTTGCAAGTTGTTCAGCTCCACCTTGAGATTTATGTGGGACCATACTTGCCGGCGAAAACTTCTTCGTGTGATACATGGTTATACTAACTACAATTTACCAAAAAAAAAAAAAATCATAAAAAAAAAAAATTCGTGCTGAAGTTCTAAAGAACAACAAAATAGAATCATCAAATTTGATCCACCCTACTGGTAATTTAACAACAGTTAAACCTATACACCATCTATGTATTTTACATTAATAAAACCCAAGTCAAACACCCTTAACTAAAATCTAGAGACAAAAATTCTTTTCGTCAATTTATGGACACCAAAATAAAACTATGCACGGTTTCACAACAAAACTAGAAATCTAATGACGAAGGAAATTTAATTTACCTAAGAGAGACTTAAAATTGAACTAGAGAATCTGAACGCAGAGATTGTTGAGGGTTTGAGGAGAAATCTAGGGAAAATGATAAACAACCACAGAAGAGCTCAGAGAACTCATGCTTCCACCCGAAATTGAAGTATCCAGAATCCAACAACTGGATTGGAATTGGATTGCTGGCGTAAGCGACGAATTGAATTGGCAGAGGAAGCAGGAGCTTCCGAGTGCCAAAAGATGCGTTTTGAAATTTTCCGGGAATCTGAGAGAGAAGATGGAAATGGAAAAAATTCTTGAGAAAAAGAGATTGGGGATTGGTGGTGGTGTGTGTCTAAACGCGTGCTTTTTTGTTTTGTCTTTCAGGAAATGATTGGATTTTAGAGAGAAAGACCCGTTATGAATCCCAGCGTTGAATCAACAGACGGCGGCGTTTTAAATGGACGTTGTCGTTAACCAACGTGGTGGGTCCCACGAGCGTGTCACGTGTCACTGCTCTTTGTGCATACTCATTTCTCGTCGTTTCTCTTTGACATTCATGCCGTTTTACGCTCCTGAAGACTCAAGATTCCCACCAAGACGGTAGAGTAAAGTTGTGGCCGACTAATAATATTATTATATTTGCTTTAGTTTGTATAATTGTGTTTGTTTCACTTTGTTGATAACCATTTGTTTAATGTAATTTATTATATTCATGTTGGTACTTAAAAAAACATATTTAAATTCGAGAGTTGGGTTTTGTGTAGATTTGATTCTTAACTCTTTTCATTTCCTATATCCATCTTGTCAAAAATCATGGATAATTTCCCTTCACAATATATATACAATTTGACACCCATAATGTTACCTCACTTGATTATTGAAAATAAAAATTTTCGCTTATACAAATTACTTAACGAAGTTATCAATTTGCTAACAAATTCATTCTACGGAAGTAACTAACATGCTACCATTCATTCCTTTAAAACCAATTTGTATAAATATAAAAATTTTCAAAAATAAAAAGCTAATATTTTATGTCTGGAAAAGGATTTTTAGAAGAAAAGGAATTTTTTGGTTTCCAATAACAGATTATTTTTTTTAATTTGATACTTAATATATAAGACAAAACAGGGGTTAATAAACAACGCCGAAGGAACTTCATAAAATCAGAACATTTGACGGGTAGATTTCGATGGAAACTCCGAAAAGTAGAATATCATGTGAACTCTTGTGAAGGCGCTAAACAAGAGCCAGAAAAAGGACCAGCCCCAATATCAAGTAATCCCTGATGCGCTCTGCAATAGTTTTCAATATTTCATATCAATAATAATCGATACTAGGACTAGTTTTATAGGGTATCAAGCTATCAACGATGGTAGGCACATCTAGCGTCAAGTTTATAAGAACTTAACTACAAACAAACTGAATCATGCAAAAGTAAACAGCTTCCCAGCAATAGCATACAGGCAATCCTCTCAGTCACAAATAAATTCCTATGCCGCAGACTACTAGCAATTGCAGTATAAGGAAACCATCCAAGTTCACCAAGAAAACGGATAGACAAAGGACAAATGTGTCAGCAAAGGAAGCTAAACATCAACGGAATTTCATGAGCGCAAAGGTGCACAGCTAATAAAGGTCTCTCTTCCGAAAAGCTGCTTCACGTCTCTCCCATGCCGGCTTTCTCTCGCTATCAATGTCCCTCTGGATCAGTCCTTCTATTGGCTTGATGATAAAGAAATACTGTAGGCAGGAACAATTAAACAAAGGAGAAGAGAGAGAATTCATAGCTCCACTGTCAGTATAATGAGAATACAAAATAAGCTTCAAAGTTCAAGAGCTTACTTGGAGAGCAAATACAAGAGGAATCCATAATTTTCCTCTCTGATTTGGATTTGGCCCTTCAATCAAATTCTTGTCAACAAGAACTGACTCATTTTTGTTCAATGCGATTTCTGTTATTGTTTGGACTAGATGAGGAATCCAAGCAGTCCCATTTGGAAGAACCTGTCACCAAGAAGCACACATCGTCTCAATCAGACTAAGAAAGATAAATGAACTAAACAGAAGGTATAAGGGAATGCCATGAAAGAAGTCTCCAACCTTTTCATCAACATCATTTTTGTGGCATCTCCCACTGTTCTCGACCAAAACAACAGGAATAGAAGCAGCCTAGAATTTCACCCAAAGAAAAAAGCAGAACAAAAGCATGAAAATTTTGAGTTAACACAAAAAGCGGTATTTGTGAAAAGCAACAAATAGCAATTCTAGACATTGGAATTATTTAAATAAGAAAGGAACAAATGTAAGTTAATCAACAAAGGAAGTAATTTACAAAATAGAATGATGCTCTCCAAACACACAATACCAATCAAACAAATCCCCACAATGATGTTGTAGACTATAGACTTCAGATTGAAAGAAAAGCCAGAAAGACAATCTTGTCTCATGACAAAATAAGGATAAGTTATGAAGCCCACATACTCCCAAATTGGCATAAAATCAATGTCATGCATGTACACAACAGCAACACACATACAATATGCCTATATACATTTCTATGTTGTAAATTTCATTAACCAATACGTTTTGGCTCCAGCTTTCATATGGTTTTCCACACAAAGATGTGACTTAGAGTTAGTACTGCCATAGCAAACTGGGCAAGTGCTAGGGCTTGTCGATCTTGCACATCACATATCACTGGTCTCGCATGTTACAATCATACCTTGAGTTTTTAAGAAATTTTTGCACCACTGATTTACTGTGTCCACTGTCCATGCAATTTTGTACCCAAGTTCTTATTAATTATCTGCAGTCGCACTTCATAGAGGATAAGGTGTCTCCTTGAAATTCCATAACCAGGAAAGACCATTCAACAGAATAAACAGCATGTCTCCATAAAGCTTTGAAGTCCTTACCTAATAAAACCTTAAAACTTACATTTACTCAACATTCAAGAAAAACCCAAAGCGGCTGTTACACCATATACTATAGAGACTAGAGAGGTGAATGGGCAACACAAGTCTGTTCTATGTAACAAAGTAGATAACTAGTAGAGATAAATACACAAATATGAACTAACATAAAAGATTTCACAACAAATATTTAAGCTATACTCCTGTTAATAAAACCAGACAAATCTATGAACTGGTAACAAAAGAGGTTCAAGGTTTTGAGGTTGGGCTGCGGATCAACTGGAATTCATACATGCATGTATATTCAATAAATAAATGATCCTGTGAAAAAACTAAGGTTAACATATATACAGAGATATGCAAATGGCACAGTAGTTACCCATCACCTTTAATATGCCCTTGTTCAATTCTTACAATTGCCACTTTTTAAATAAATTTTTAATCTAAAAAGGGCATATCAAATTAAAAATAGTTTCAGATGCAATGTTCAAAGACAGCACTGGCATAGTAATTGAGAAACACCACCCTACCAAAGCAACTGCCCAAGTTCCAGTCTTGGTTCACTCTTTTAGTGAAAAAACACAAATAAATTGAACCATGTTTAGTTCACCGGTTTCAAATCCAATCTTCAAAAAACCAGATTTGGGGGCAGAACCGAACCAGCTAGCGTACAATTGGTGGTGAACCCAATCCAACCAGACAATTTGGTAACCAGACCAAATTGTCTGGTTGGATTGGGTTAACCATATGTCCAGGAAAAATAGATTCCAAGGCAAGGGAATGCCTTTGGAAACAGTAACCAACTAATTGGCAAATCCTTTTCTTCCCATTCAGTTATCAGTAGTGCGCAATAGCAGTACTATAGCAGGGTAAGTTGGCTGCATTGTGTCAAGGCTGGCCCCCAATGCAGAAACTACATCAGTGTTTCAGCGACAAGTCTGTCACCCAAAATCATGCTGATTTTCAGCTACACTGACAAAAAGAAGGGGTAAAACCCCTCTTGGCCCCCTTGTCCAACAACTTTTTGACATTATATCATGATTTCATTCCTTTTTTCATAAGAATGGCAATTGAAATCTTTGTTCCAAGCTTTATTTTCACAACATGCACTACTCTCCTCCAGTTTCAACACAAACCACCAACACCCGGTGCTCAACAGTGCTGTTCCTGGCCAAGCTAGGTGTTGTCAGGCCTTAGCATACCCACTTATGTTTTGCACATAGTCCATTTTGTTGATTGTTTGTGCATACTTTACTCCTTTCATTTCTCACAAAAAATCTTGTGTGCAAAAGAAAGCTATGACCCTTCCTCTGCCTCTGTTTCACCACTCACCCTTCTGTTACATCAGTTTTGTTTTTAGGTCCTAAGTCCTCATGCAGTTGTACCTGTTCAGTCCTCTACTCTATCATTGAGCTCTGTTCTGATTTTTTTTTACTATTTATTATCCTTGACCAAACCCAATGTTGTATGATTCAAGTAACCAACCTCACCTAGCGGGATAAGGTTATTGTTAGTTATTGTTGTTGTATTGTTCCTCCTTGACCCAGTCATGACATTTGTCATAATTGATTTGTGTTCAGCTTAAGAATGAGACTTTTTAAGTATTATTTCTTTATAATTGAGCATTTATATGTGTAATATAAATTATTTAGCTTTGTATTTATGTCTACGTGGAAGTGGCAAAAATGCAAATGTTAAGGTGGATAAGTGGACACACAAGAAAGGATATGATACAAAGTGATAGTATATGAGAATGAGAGAATATTGGAGTAGCACCTCTAGTGGAAATGATAACTAAAAAATGTCTAAGTTGGTTCAGTAATGTGCAAGAATACCTTTGGAGGCACCAATAAGGAGAGTGAATTACACGTCTCTTAGTCTAGTAAAGAGGGATCGACGATACCCAAAAGAACCTTAGATGAAATTATTAAAAGAAGAGATCTTTTGATTAACCAGAATTCTAAAAATTTGATTTTTTACTGAGCTCAATGGCTACATGGATGTAGCTGACCTCAACTAGTGAGATAAGGCTTGGTTTTTGTTGTTGTATCTATGTCTATGGAATACAGGAATAGTAATCATCCAGCTATTCATTATCCCTCTTATAGTAGTTTTGGGGTTGGCCACTCTACGAGATTGATAACCATGTTACTATTCAAGAATCATAGTTCAGAGCACTGAAATCTAAATACTCTAACTTCTGATGGTTTAACAGAATAAAAATTTTGACAAACTTAGATGCATTTGAACAAAAAGACTGAAGTTACGAAGAAAATTACCTGAAAGGCTTCTTTCTTTATCCGGGCACCTGATCTAACAACCTTCAACAGAGCCTCAGATCTTTTTGAGAAGAATTCATCGTAAGGCAATCCATCAGGTGGAGAGAACTGAGCATGTGTAAGTGCTATTATAGCCTTGTTCCATATTCCTTTGCCAAAACTGTCTGTTATAGCTTTGGCAACTAACTTATCCAAGTTGTCCACTCTATACACATCCAAGCGATCCACATAAAGCAGAATGTCTATAGTCTTGTTCAGAAGGAAGCTATTCAAACAAACCCAAATTCCCCCAAAAAAACAAAATAAAAGGTAAGGAGAAAGAAAAATAAATCATTTGTAAGACCAAAGACATGCTTTACAGGCATAGTGTTACATGCTTAACATAAGTATACCGTTTAATTATATCAAGTGCCATATCGTTGATGTATCCCCCTTCAATGAGACCAGGAGTGTCAATAATGTTCAAAGTAAAACCTGCCCTTGATCGCGATACCATCACAGGTCTCGGCCCTTCCGACTTTTCAAGATAAAAAAAGTATTTTTTACTCGCATATAAACATAATAAATAGATAACAACACAACCACCACCCCATAGATCGCAAGAAAGTATCATCATGTACCTGAAAAGGACTAATCGAAACTACTCTTTCCCCAATAATGGAGTTCACAGTTGATGATTTTCCAACACCACCATTTCCCATCACAAGTATAGTCAAGGAGTTCACATTCTACGCCAAAACATACACGAAATTCACAAGGCAGAAAAATACATATATACAATTGTAAAACAACAACAACAACAAAAATAAGAATTAAGCACGAAAACTAGGGATAATTCAATGGGGGAAATTAAAAATGAAAAATAAAAAATAAAAAATAAAAAATAAAAAATAAAAAATAAAAAATAAAAAATAAAAAATAAAAATGAAAAAACCTCTTGTTTTAGCTTTCCCAGAAGTTCAAGCAACTTAGTCTGCGTTGCCGGAGCGAAAGTATTAATTCCAGACCACTCACGGATGATTTGGGATGCCATTGAAAGATGTTCTACAAACACCACATTGGAAATAATAATCGTAGTTTTAGTGCATATTCCACCAGACACCAAATAAACCCACCAATTAAAATAAAATATATCATTAACCTAAGATTCACAACAATTACAAAACGTAAAGGAAACCCACAAAAAGAATCCCTAAAACAGAGACATGGGAAGGTAATATGATATCTGCAAGGTAATAAACGATAGGAGAAAACAGTGAAATTGCGCAGAAGAAGAAAGGGAGCAGAAGAGAGGAAAAGGGTAATGAAATGAAAGAGTAAACCTGAAGAGACGCAGTCTAGGGTATGGAGGAAACAGAGAGAGGTAGGAGAAGTGTGACCCAAGCACCGCCCTTGCCCTCCTTATCCAACTATTCCACCTTTTGATAACACTCTGTTTTGCCGTCTTCTACTCTTGCCTTGCTTCTTTAAATATTAACTTCAAGTATTTTCCTTTTTAATTTTGAAATTCAATTATTTTATTTTAAAATCAGATTTATACATTTTATTGTAAATGTAGTATAAATTTATACTACATTTTATTTTTAAAAACTAAAAATTATGTTTAAAAATGAAATCAAACATATTTTAAGAATACGATTTTTTTTTAATTTTTGGTCTTTTTTAGTGGAAGTCTTCCCGAAGAGAACACGTTTGGAGTTTTGAGTATTTGATATAACAATTGAAGTTTACTTGCAATCGTGATTTAATTTAGAGCAATGCTATTTCGTTCAGTTGTTTGGGAAATTATCACGGGGTTCACTTTACTTAACAGTAAAAATAAATAAATAAAAATAGCTATAAGAAATTATAAATTTTTATTAAAAATATTTCTTATATAAAAAATATCAAAGCATAATATATAATACATAATTACCCTCTTAAATTTAGTCTTAAAAACGATTTTGTATCTTTTCATGATTCAATTTAATTTATAGTATTGTTGCTTAGTGTGAGAGTACATGGAATAAGGTATTTAGAGGGTAAAGTGAGTTTCCCCTTGCCATTAAATATTTTGTACTTTGGTTTGTTCCTATGTGCGCTGGGGTCCGTCTTCTTGTGAACTTGTGAGGTTAGATTTTTGTTCTCGACTCCCTCGTTAGAGCAAAACAATGTTTTTACATATCGATTTTAAGTAATTAATGTTAAAAAAAATGGTGTGACTTCTAAAATTTAGATGTTATTTTACTGGATTGGTTATTAAGTAATTGAAACAAACAAATTTAGATTAATTAAACATGTAATCGATTTAAAAATTATATTTCAAATTTTTTTAATTTTGATGGAATATCACAAATATTTTATCATTGTCAATCAATTAAAATATATTGTACAATGATTTGCATCTAAATAAATAAAAAATTGACATGATGATGATCAAATGATAAATTAAACATATAATTAATAAATCTATAGAATAAAATGAGACAAATAATTAAGTGGATCAAACTTAATTCTTTTTGTATCATAAATTTGAATATATTGCACACTCTCTCTAAGTTAAGAATTATGATTCCTCTATTATTGTTTGTGTGCAAGTGTACTTGTTAAAAAATACTCAAAATATTGTAAGATTATTTTTAAATAATAAGATTTTTTAATTTAATTATTTTAACTTAAAGATATGAAATTAAATAAAAATAAGAATTCAAATATAAAAATAGTTTAAAAAAATTAAAATAATGCAATCTCTAACAATAAAAAGAAATACCGAGTGTATAGTTTCACTTTCACATTTTTTTATGTTCATTTACTAAATTTATTCACATCAAATGGTCATACAATATTAATAATATTTTTTTTAAGTTATTACTCTTAATAGTCATACAAGGTAAAGGAAGAAAAAATATAAAATCATATGAGCTGTTAATTTAATAACAATAGAAGAAAAAGAATTAAGTTTGATCCACTTAATTATTTGTCTCATTTTATTCTATAGATTTATTAATTATATGTTGCACGATTGCCTATAATATAATTAATTATGGTATGTTTAAGAGTTATTGATTTTAAGCATATAAATATAACGCAATAGAATAAACATCAAGAAAGAAAATATGAAATTATCATTAATTACAAAGATCTCATAGAGTCATACAAATGATTTACCATAGATATAGTTATAGATTTAGCTAGATATAATACAATAGAAAATTAAAATAATAATAAAACAATTCATAGTTATTCAAAAAGTAAATACAAACCAAAGTAGTCTTCAATGGAAAAGATACAAAGAAAGCTCTTGATCTTAAGACAAATTCTCAAAGTTTCAATAGTCATCAATGACTAGTCAAAACTAAGATCCAAGATGTCTACTTCATAACTCTTAAAGTTCTTTAGATAAAGTTTAAAATCTATCCGAGATGATGATTGTTACCACTACGAGATATGTTTTATCTCTAATAAAGATATGACGTAATAAGAGGAAAAAAATATGATTTGTTAAATTTAAAATTTAAATTCTCTCTTCATAGGTCGCTAAAAAAATCTCTAAGTTAAATCTTGTGAAGTCAAGTGCGACTGTGCTACCCATTATGCATGGTTCTCAAAGCACCCTCATGTTGGCTACTAAAGCATGTGTGCACTTGTTGTAGCACGACCATATTTTTCATTTAATTTGAATCTAAAATGCATTGAAATCTAACTGTGACATTTTAACACAAAATTGCATAATTAATATAAAAATCAGTATAAAATCATCATAAAATAACGGTCATACATATCGATATAAGCTATAAAAATATGTCAAAATACAGACTTATTAATTATCTTAGAGATTAAAGAGTATTTACATCTTTTTAAAATAAATTACTAATTCCATTATCTATTTGTATAAAATTAATGATGATAATTGTTTCACATGTGAAAGGGCATAAAATGCTCTCTTAATTTATAAAGTATTGCAAAAATTATCTAAAAAATATTTGCATTATTAGTGTATTTGAATTAGGATTTTGTTTATATTAATCATTAGGATTAGTTTAAGTCTTTGTGAATAGAAAATTTTGATTAAAAAATATATATTTATTGTATTAAAATTATAAAGAGATAACAAATATTTTTTTTTAGTTAAAATGTTGTTATTATTGTTATTATTAATTACTTACCTTCAATCCTAGTTAACATTTTTCTTTAAATTAAATCTATTTTAAATTAACAACTAAACCTTAAACTTTTTTTTTTTTTCTCTTTCTTTGCCACTCACCATCTTTTGCTTGGACTCATTGGTAACAAGGAGAAGAGAGAGCCAGTGATAGCAATGGTGGTGGATAGATTATTTGGCAAATGATAGAACACAATTTTGGATGGCTAGTCTTCATGGTTACGAGAATTTTGGTGCTCTTGATGCTCACATTGTGAGGATGAGTTGTAATAATTTCTTTGACAAAGATAAGTGACACAATTCTTAACAAACTATGAGGTGGTCGATTTTTAGGTCAGCATTTGTTGCTCATAATCTAATGGTGAACAGGCGAAGGACGATGATTGATAGCTTGGACGTTGGTTTTGCTTACAAGTGTGTGTGAGTCTAATTTTAGTTGTGTTTTCCAGTGAGGTGGTGCATTGTGTAACAATGGTAACAAGGTTAGGGTTGTTAATATGAATTCAGTTTGTTAGATTGACCTATCCAACGTGCTAAATTTGACAAAGCAAGATGAATTCCAAATCCTACGACTTGCTTAACTCGTGTTTGCAAATATAAATTTAAAATATTTAAATAATAATAATAATTTTTTTTAATTTTTAGTTTTTATTTCAGCTTAGTTTTTTTTAAAATTTTTTTACATTAATTTATTAACACAAAAATATTTAAAATAATTTTTTCGTAAAAATGTTAACTCTATTAGAAAATTATAAACTCTAACTATTTCTCTTTTTATTTTATTTTTTCTTCTTCCTTCTTTTCTTTCTTCCCTTACCTCACATTTATGCCTTCACTACCTCTAAAATATTAATCATCGTTATGATCTCATACTCCAATTTAAAACTCATACGTGAGCATGAATGAATCAACAAAGAATGTCAAATTTACATATCTTTACCTCAATTAAAGAGATGTTGCAAATGCGATGAAGCAGCCTAATGACTTTTATTTTTTGGGTATTATTTTCCTCAACCAAATCTTTTTCACTTTCATATGGACTAAGATGCATTTAGATAATTATCTCCTCGTGTATCTTTTTTATCATAAGCAATCCTTTGAATCAACGGAGTTTGCAAATCTAGTAAGTTTAGATGGGATGTTGGTTAGGTTTGTGAGGAGGACATATTATTATGCACAGAGAAAGTGTTTTTATTGGTTTGTCATATTTAACTTCTTTTTTATGACTAGTAGGTTACCATTATTTTTAAAAAAAGAATTGGGATATTTATTGCATGAATTATATCTAGCTTTATATAGTTCATGAGTAGTCTAATAACGTAGATAAGAGAAGAAAAAAAATGAAGAAAAAAATAATTAAAAAAAAATGATGAAAGATACTTTATTTTACCAAGAGTTCATAAGAAAGAAGAAGAAGAAAAAATAATTTTTTAATGGAGTTAAAACTTTTTAAGATTTATTTAAAACATTATTATATGTTAAGGGACTGAAACTAATTTTGTTTAGGATTTAGAATTTAGTCAATATTATAAAATTAAACTGAAACAAAATCAAAAGTCAAGAATCTTAATATTAATAAATTCAATTATTTGTGTAAGGGTTTAATTATATACATGTATGTTGTCTAATTTATATGATTTTTATTTTTTTCTTTTTAATTAGGTTAGTTCGTTTTGCTTTCTTTAATAAGAGTATATTGTTATTTATTGGTGCCTGATATCGGTGATGGGTTGTGTTATCGACGGTGGTTTACTGGTTTAATTTGGGTGGCTTGTCGGTTTTGAAAGGGATGATGGTGGTGCAGACCGAAAAGCTTAATGACAAGTGTTTTTTTCAAAGAAAATTTGCATTGTTTAGATTGATTTAGATTATAACTAAAGTAATAAGGTTGAGAAAATGCGGAGAGAGGATATAGTTATTGTGAGGATATACTTATAACAATCTATATTATTAACTCATTCTACCCTCTAGGTGTACGGACTCATTTTAAGTAGTCAAAATTATGATTTTAGTGACGATATTTTATTAGACAAGTATAAAATTAAAAATATTTAATTGTAACTAATAATAGTTTTTATTAAAAAAAGAAGTATTTAATATATTTTTATACTTTAATATAATAAATATATTTTTTTCATACAAACTTTTTTATAGATGGTTAAAGAAGGCTTTAAGTTAATAAAATCCTTTAATAAATTTTCAGTATTATTTTCAATTTTCATTTATATAATAAATTCCTAATTCATTCTTAAAAATGCTGTAATTTTAAAAAAATGCTATAATTTTTTCACGTACTACCAT